ATTATGTAATTAGTAACTTTTATTTGACTTGCAACGTACCCATATGTATAGGTACCAATTTAGTTTATTATACTAATGTAATATGGATTATATTACATTAAATTAACTAAACCAAAAATAATGTTGGCAATGACATGCTTGATGTAAATGTTGTTTCTTCTGATAAAGAGCTATTAAGTTTTTTGGCTCGTTCTTCTTGTCAACCAAAGGACGTCCTGAACGAGTTTTGGACGATGGAAAATTGCGGATATTTTCGTTTTCATAAAGACAGCATAGTAAAACCTATGTCTAAAGTGTGCTATGTAAGGTAACGTAATACTTTTTGTCACACGGGTTTTTTTTTTACAATAATATAAGCTTTTGTTGTTTTTAACAATGGATTCAGGAAATATGCTAAATAAGTGTCCGTCATAAAACCTTTTTTTATACAATATGGAATGGAAACTCCCGTTTTCCAAGAATTGATAGCACACAACAATGGTCTTTATTCTTAGAATAGTAGAACTGGTGTTTAATGTTCTCAGTGTTTATTCATTCGATGGAGATTTACAAATTATATCTGCTGAAAACAGGAATAAGCTATTCACGTTATCAGTTTTTTTATTTTGCCATTTTCTAACCGGTCTTTTTTTTCTGTCATGTCATTATTTTCTTTTTTTTTCCAAAATCATGCTTTTGCTTTCCTATTGGTTTTAACTTATTTCAGTTACCTACATTTCTCTCTTATATCAATTTTATATTTATTCTATAACCTTCACTAATTTGTTAATTCGTCGATTAGAAATTAATTAATTTAGGGAAATATCTAATAAATAAATGTAATATATCAAATTTCATGTAATAATAAACAACTTAACATTATAAAATGTTCTCACTTTTTTGGAAAAAGCAAATCAAAATTTATCATTTTTCTGCATTTTACTACGTATTATTATGTTCTAACTAATATAATAATATTCATTGGTTCTATATAACTGTACTTACAAAGGCCAAGGTCACTTAAATAATGATTGAATGATTTCTATGCGGTAGGTGAGCCACAAATGCTGCATCATAACATATCCACACGATAGATGCGTGATAATAATTTATGATTGCAAAAAATTGACAATTGATGATTCAATTCCTTTTTATCAAGAGTTGTTAGCGTGATCGGTCTGCGATTGAGGAGGTTAACATACTTTCGCAAAGGCCAAATATCGGATGAGTGGCCAAAATGTATTAGTGATATCGAGTTCTGCCATTTGACAGTGGGTCCGCGTGGACATTACGTTATGACCCGTTCTTAACGAACTGGGGACTTACGCCTGTTTATCCACTAATTTTCGTAACTTTCTTATAATTTTGTCTGACGCACAGATAATTTTGGCGCCAAAATTATCTGTGCGTCAGAGGCAGTGCCAAGTCTTGCCTCAGTTGCATCATAATAATCGAAAAATGCTTTTACTTGTAGGAGTCATATTAGAGTTTCAATTGTACCGGGATTTCGTTTTCGGAGTCTTTCTTTCTGTCCACACGACAGTAATAGGGATAAACTAATGATGATAATAAACTATGTTTTCGATAGTTTTTCATTGTTTCTTGTGAAGATTCACACAAATTCCGCAAATGTATTAACGGAGAAATGTAAATTGTTCGACGAATGATAGTTGAAACAATTTTTTAAGCCTCAAAAAGTATTCCGATTGATAATTTTAATACGTGCTTATATTTTAATGCGTAATAATATTACACACGAAATTGTCATGTATTGTTAAACAAACACGGAAATGTATTATTTGAAGCGGTATAATATTTGTCTTTAATACGTTTTACTAATTTGAGAGATAGCAGGAATCTTCCAGAACATTCCTGAAGGAACTAAAATCAGGAACTTTCCTTAAACTATTTATATAAAAACAAATTTAGTTTGCCTTCGTTTTTTAAATAAAAAGGTACATTCGCGTCTAAAAATATGTATTCTACATTTAGTCGTCTATATTATTTTTACAATAATGATATCGAGTTACTAGCAACGCTCAAAGTTCTTAAATCTGACGAAAAAGTTTGAAAACATATATTATGTTGAATCGATTTTTCATTTCTAATAGATACCACATAAATGTTTCCTAAATAAGGAAAATTAAAAAAAAAACGGCAAAATGTTAGGTTCCACCGAGATTTGAACTCGGATCGCTGGATTCAAAGTCCAGAGTGCTAACCATTACACCATGGAACCGGTTGATGAGATGCCAAAATATACGGATTGCTTTCGCTTATCGAATACAAACATTTGATTAAACTTTTAAAGTGACGTCAGTCATACCGATGCAGAAGTTAGCTTTTGTTTAGGATTGTAATTTTGAGAAGACTCTTGAAAGGTTCCATGGTGTAACGGTTAGCACTCTGGACTCTGAATCCAGCGATCCGAGTTCAAATCTCGGTGGAACCTGTTTTTTGTATATAAATACTTTTTAGTTTTATACTTTGGATTTTGTATATTTTTTATTCTACTCTTTACATGTTTTATACATTTTATTGCGTCCCCTTGACAATAAATCACTACTGCCGGTTTCCTTGTAATTATTAAGATTATTTAAATTTTTAAATGTGTGGCAGCAGTCCAATAATAGTTTTCTATTTTTTCTGGATATAGGTACTTAAGGTTTTTGAGCTATTAGGTTCTGGCTATATATTTAAGTGTTTACATAAACCTACATTAAAAATATATATATTGTTTAACCAGTGGCTTAATATGTAAATATAAAATGTATAGACTAAATGTAGGTGTAAATAGCAAACTATAGTTTTCTTTAACTATGTCCTTTGTTATTTTTATAAAGACTGAATAATGTCGAGTCGTCATTGTGTTGTAACCGTGGGCAGTGGGAGAACCGTTATGTGGAGCTTGGAACTTGGGACGGATCTGTGGTACTCGCTTTTTTTTTATTTTATCTGAGAATTATTGTGTTTTGATCTTATTTTAAATGTGTAGTAGGTACCAAAAAATCTTTATAAATGAAAAGAATTCTATGTTTTTATCTTGGCAGATTATACTAAAAGTGGTAATAGACCTACATAGTTTTACATATTTTAGGGTTCCGTTTTACCTCGGAAGGAAAACGGATACCATAAAGGATCACTAGATTGTCTGTCTGTCCGTTCGAACGTATGTCACAGCAGATTAATTCGAAAGAATCTTGTCCAATTTTGACCTACATATTTACTAATAATATATTTATCCTTCTCACAATATTGCACCCACCATTTGCCGCCATTTGTTTACTCGATGTTTTAAATAATATGTGCTCTTATATATGCTCCAGTAAACATTGTATTATATTGAATACAATAAAGTATATTATTATTAATCAGTGATAGTAATTGATTTACCTCAAAAATAGCTTATTTTTTCCTTATTTCATATCAGGAAATTAAATCATAAAATAAAGTCAAGATAAAAATTGCGAGACTGATAATCATTTTTAAATAATACTATGATTACTACCCCCGATTCGGACCCAATGACAGTTTGCTACGTTTTGTTTCATCTACTATGGAAAAAAAACAGTCTTTGTCATATTATGGTAAAAAAGAACACATTAACAAATACACCAATCAATCAAATTGGACTTAGATACAGCGTAAATAATTTTGGGTTGTAAATTGGAAATAAAAAAAAGTTTCGCGAACTATGTTGTGTAACACAGAAAATAAAAGATCTTGTTGTGAAAATCTTAAATATATATCTTTTTTATAATTTCAACATAATTAGTGTTGAAGTTATCAAATAAAATAGGAGCCTAAAATGTTGATAGAGAATACTCTAAATAACTCATTACTTGCTTATTAGATTACCGGAAAACCGGAATTATTAGAAGTCTATGTTTTATATTTAATATTCGGCGTAACTTACACCCCGCGGACAGACTCGCCGATTAGTCTATTTTTTTAGGATTCCGTACCCAAAGGGTAAAAGCAGGACCATACTACTCGTCGTTTCCGGTACGGGCTCTTCGTGAACAAGTCCGACTCGCACTTGGATTTTTTTATTGAAATATATTGGAATCGGCGACCAACTTTAATAAACTTAAGTGAATAGATAATTTTGTTTCTAATAAAAACTTTCATAAACATACAAGTCTTTGTTTGCTAATGGAATCGTTAATTTCTGTGTAGTCAACTGAAAAATCGATATCTTATATTTGTAACGCTTCTTTCGAACATCGTTAAACGTGTGTTGACCCTGAAATTGTCACGACCGTCATTCATGGTATATGACTCACTTATTTAGAGATAATTATGTACTCATTTTGTACTTTTTATTGCAATTATATTTTCCTCTATTAAAATTATTAATATGACCTTTTCCATTTAAAAAACTTTGGCTGCAATGGTCCGTTATGACTGCTGCTTTGAATGCAAACTAGATCAAATACATTCATTAGGAATATTGGCCAGACAATTAAACCAACCCCGTCTAGTTTGGGCTTGTTTTACTGGACAAGATTTTTGCTTCAAATCTAAATTTCTTCTTTACATTCTTTTCTGGTGACGATTATCTTACTGCGTAATATTGTAGTAAAATACATATTAATGTCATTGTGTAACAAATAAATAATGCATGAAATTCTCCATAAATTATTTTCTCTAAACACCGGATTAAAGGTTCGCAAAATTTTATAAGTAAATAAAATAATCCCTCGACCGCTATGTATGAATTTGTACAAAGACACAATGTCTTAACAAGTAGTAACTATAAATAATAATCCTATATTATATATTTTCTCGATAAAAAGTAAATAAGAAAAATTACCTTAATATTCACTTTTTTATCATAATATACTTTTTTTTTTAACAATTTTCTAAAGATTTTAAAATTATTAAGTTTAGCTATATTTCAATAAGACTTGTCTAAATTTATGACGAAGAAACTGTTAAATTCGTAAATCAGGTCAACTCAATGCATGTAGTCAGTTATAAATATATTTAATTCTTAAACATTCATCTTTTGTCCACAGGAACCAGTGGCGATCAAATCAAAGTTGCTGCATTGGAAGAAAGTGGACCCCTCAGATCATCTCTACATACCGACCAAAGATGAGGCTACAGCAAATGTGTAGATAAAATGCAGCTATTTAGTGAAACGCGCTTTTAGAAACCATCGCAATCAGAGGGAAAAGCAAATAAACTAGAAAAAATTAACACAACCCTCTGATGATTTAAAGATATTAGGTAAAATGATCATTAGTATGACATTTTATGATAGATATTTTATGAACACATGGCAAATTATATTGTAGCAATTCCGTGATGTATTTAAGCTATAATGAAAAATTACGGCTTTCCATAAACTTCCAAAGAACATTATTGTTATTATTATTATATGAGACAAATTGATTACTTAAAACGAATGGTATTAAAAGTATTTTCACTGTTGCATGCAGTGCAATAAAATATGTCTGGGACTGCTACCTAGATAGGTAGGATTTTATCTTATCAGAATGTTTGAACAGCTATTTTAGTTGGTAATGTAGTTATGAGTAATTTAAAATATTCCATGGCATAGCCATGAATCGCTTTAATTTAATTTAGGCAATAATGTTTTTCTCTCAAAATAGTAACTATATCACATAGATTAATGAAGTTTTAAAGTCGGATTAGTATTATTGACTAAATATTATGTAGTATTTGTGGTGTACCAATAGCACAATTAAGACAATTTAATTTTTTTGTTTGTAATTTTTACATTCCAAAAATTACTGAAATAATTAAAGTACGCCGCTACCTGCCTCTGTGATTTACTATTTGCACCAGTATTCAATGAAGTACTTACTTTATGTAGACCTAATTTTAATTTTTAGTATTATTTTGTGATTTAATGTGATTTATTTTTTATTTTATTGTTTTGACATTTTTCAATGTTGTGTGTTTCCTATGTATCACTATTGTATCACATTTATTATAGAATAAATTGTGTGTTAAAAAAAAATTTGTTTATTCTTACATACTCAACATTCTCCGATATTAAATGAGGATTTGTAACTTTTATGATGAATATTTGAGTTAATTCAGACTAAGGATGTAAAATGATATATTTCAAAATAAAAAATATATATTATTTATTGATAGAAATTGTATGCTTCTGTGTTGATTGTCTCAATTCTATTGCCTCTATATTCAATGATGAATTCATTAGAAACAAAATTCAATCATAATCAAGTTTTATACACCAACCACAATATAAAATACGGTAATATATATGTGATAAACAAAATGAGAGCTACCACAATTTTGAAATGTTATTAAAATAATTTTGAATATAATTAAACCTATACAATTATCGCAATATTATATTAATAATTACTTCATATTCCTATCAATTCTAGAAGATAACAATTTTATAACCGGTATACCTAAAATAAGAGATGATTTTTCCACTCCATATCACTAACAAGATTATCATCACATCACTTAAAAAAATTCAGGGCAGAGCATCATCTGCATTGTCATTTTCCACTAAGATTAGAGTCACTTGAATGTTAGTATTTCTTGATAGTCTTTCTGATGAGTGCCATTCGTTGTTTGTGGGCTTCTGTGACTGCTGCTCGTTTGTAAGGTCTCAACTCATCATTACCAAAACCTGGAATCCACATATTCCATTGTCTTTCTGCAAATGATAGAAAATATTAACATTAACAATATAATTATGAAAAAATTACAATGTAGAAGAATTACTTAATTTGTTTACCTAAATGTAACTGAACATCTTTGAGCTCCACAGTAGGAGCGTGTCGGTGTTTAGCCAAAGCACATGCTGCATTTAATGTTGTATCTATGAAATCATCAGCAAGTTGTAGAAGCATCTCTTCTACTTCTTCATCAAGTTGCACTGTGGGGTCGACCTCGCGCACTAACTCTTGGAGACGAGGACGACTGAGTAACTGGAGATCACAAGTAATATAAACATTTAGAAACACATTAAACAACAGGAGAATACATTAATATGTACAACTAGCTGTTTCCCATGACTTTGTGGGAATAAATTATAGCCTACTAGTGGACGCCCGCGACTTCGTCCGCGTGGAAGTCGGTATCCCGTGGGAGTGAGAAGTTTTCCCAGTAAAAAGTACCCTATGTGTTATTCTGATGTATAACCTATATTGCTGTAAAGTTTTATCCAAATCCGTCCAGTAGTTTTTTCGTGAAAGAGTAACAAACATCCATACATCCATACTTACAAACTTTCGCCTTTATAATATTAATAGGATGTCACCTGTGTATGATGTAGCTTTTCATAGGTGGAAGAGTATTTTTGAAATTGGTCCCTTTAGTTTTGGAGCTGATTCCATATAAACAAACAATCTAAGCTTTCAATAATATTAGTGGATAAGCACCGCGGACCACAATCATTGTTGTTAAGCAACTTTGGCAAGGGTCGGACAAGGGATAGGTGACCAAAAAAATATTATCTCGAGCTACTCTATGCTTCAGAAGGCATGTTACGCTGTTAGTCCTGGCTGCATTTGCAGTCGTTAATATCCTCCAATCTGCATGGGTCATGGCCCATCCTCCTTAACCGTCCATAAGGAATGCCTGAGCCCTTGCAGTGGGGACGTTAAAGCGCTGCTGATGATGATGATAATGACTATGAATAGAAGACGATTTTGACAAACCAGAAAAAAAAATGGATATTTTACATCAAATAGAATCCAGTATTTTCGGAGCCTTTTCGATGTAAAAATCTTCCCTTTTTATTATTTAATAGTATAGAAAAGTTTGTCAAATAAATGGAGCTTGGAGTGTTCAGTTCAAACAATCGACATCTTGTAATACCTGCGTAGCTTGGTCGCCAGATCCTGTTTGGCTGACTTTGGCTCCTGTTTGTGCCTGTGTACCCATTGGGCTGTGCTGAGAAGGCGAACCCTGAAGTGAAGTCGACTGAAGTTGGGGGCTTTGCAATGGATTGTTGACGTATTGGATACCTTGGTTTATTGTTCCGATTGTTGGCATATTGGGACCTTGATTATTTGACATCTTCGATGCAATCGAATAACGATTTCAATTATATTTTCTTTTTATTTTATAAAACAGGTCAAATCAAGATAATGTAAATCGAAGATTGACAATTGACATTGACCGACAGCCCCAGACAGCCCTGTCTTTGTTAACTTAGACAGTTTATTTTTTTAAATTATGAAGGCAAAGAGCAAAAGCGATTTTGTATCCAAAGAAAAAAAAAATCAGTATAATATCTATACTCGAGAGAAGTGTTATAACTTTAATCAGATATTATTAACCAATAAACGAGAATACGAATGAAGCATGAGCTATTAATAGCTAATAATAAAAGCATTCTTATTATTAACAGTTCTTGTTTCATATTTGTTAAAAATATTTGTTTATCTAATATGAAGAAGTATTTAAAAAAAAAACAGTACTTCCCGAATTCAAACTAGATGTCGCTACGGTGCTTTTTTGATTTCTCCATGAATGGGTTGCCCTTCCGAAAACCGAAGGGGTTGCCCACAGAACAAAAGTACTCTACGAGAAGAATGCCAACTTCATAGAAAAATATTTTCCATAGAAACTAGCGCCACCTATAGTCAGCCCCCCGGAACAAGTAGTATGGCGGGAAGTTTAAATACTAACTTTATACTTAGGTTTCATATTAACTACCAAATTACTAACACCAGTGTTTTCTGTGAATATTTTTCGTATACGAAATCCATAACATACACAAATTCCACAAACGAAAAACATCCACAGGGAACACAGGTTTTAGTAATTTGGTAGTTAAACTAGGTGAAATATAGGAACTACTTCAAAAAGCGAATATAACACAAGCAGATTATAATAACACACTTTATTTTCATTATTATTGTAACATACCGCTTTATTACACAAATTAAGTGAATTTTGAACATACTGTTTGGTTTTTAACTTCATTTTAACACTGATTTACAAGCCTTCAGCATTATTTTAATGTGTGCACCAAATTATCAAGAAAATCATTTTGACACAGCATTCTACAATATGTTCGGTGTACAATTTCATTTGGAATTCTGTTGATGAATTCCGTCCTTTGTGGAAAATATATTTAGCCCACAATTCACATCTGAAAACAAATACAACGAAATTAAGAATGTTATATCCTTATAGTACAAGAGATAGAGCTACATTTTCCTAAGAATTTTATAACAAACTAATTTAATTTATAGTTCGTAATCGATAAACATCCTTAATCACCTTCACCTACAGCATCACTTTTATCAGAAATAACATAAAATTCTTTCATACAGATTAGCATGACATACCTAATACTGAAGCTCTTTGACTCAAGTCATATTTTTTACAACTAAATACAAGTATTTATGTAAATTCTAACTCTACTGCTAATAAAATACCTAACACTAGCATTACATAATGGGAATATTCTCTTGTTAAAATGTAGCGGAACTTCACGTACTATTCATTAGTTTGGAAATCTATAAATAGAAGATTAAAGCAAGTACCGTATAAGATTCCTTTTAGCCGGCTTCGGAAAACGAAAGAGCTTTACATTATGCTGGGTTGGCGAACGTCCACACTTAAAACATTTTCTTCTGTTTTCTTTATCAGCCATATTTTCAACAACCACAACAACAGAAAAGAGTCACTATCTCAAATTTCACAAATAACTATGAATCCACTTTCTAAGCACATTAAAAGGAGGAACAAAAGCTCATCTCGACGTTATAATGATAAGAAAATGCAGGAAATAAGTAATTGTGATGGAATCGCATGGAACAAGCGGGAACAACAACAAAACAAATTGCCATTATCGACACTAAATCAGTTACAAAAATAACTACTACTAATTTTAACAATGATGCCTTCCAATTAATAAAATTAACACGATTGCAACTCAAAAAAAATAAAAGTCAACTGTGTTATTTACTTGACTTAATATGATGTATTTCTGGATATTAAAAACTTGGATAAATATAATTTTTTGGTAAAAGACAACTATCAGAGACTACTAAAATGTGTGAAAGTAATAATATGAGGCAACACTGCAGATTCATTTCATTGCCATACTATTAAATCTTAGTTGCTAGTTAAAAATATGGTATTATGAAAGATTATTTGGGTCTTTCATCATAAAATTTTGCCCCTCTAGGTATAATTTTACACTTGTATGAAGTTACCACCCCCTGGGGTTGCCCTTCGGTTTTCATTCAAAAGTAAATTAATTTTCAAAACTTAATTAACAACTCATATTCTATTTGTACTTTTTCATATTTTTATTGATATCTTTGATCCATTCATTTCCTGCAAAAATCAAATTTTGCTAGAGTCGCCATCTAGTGAGATGATTTTTAGTGATGTCTTTTTTTTAAATACTTCTTCATTACTTTTACTTGACTGTAAATATAGGTGTAAGAGCCTCATACAGCCAGTCTCTTCTTTCATCGGAAGTTTTTTTTTAATAATTATAATAATCACTTTATTTCTATCACAATAGTTACAACGATCTTCTAACATTAGACTTAAAGTTAATTCATAAATGTCGTGGCCATCGTTAATATACAGAATAGAAAAAGAATCTGGTTCTGTATAACCTACTACTCATTCGAATTAATGTGACACTTGGCTAGAAAGAAAGTACTGCAAGCAAATAAGTTACAGTCTATAGGTTGCAAATGCGGCGACAGTTGCATGGTTAGCGAGGCAGCTAATTTATTAATAAATACAATTAGTGAATTATGACAATGAATCTACAGAAAATAATTTAAATAGTTCTATTTCGACGAAAAGAAAATAGAAATAAATAATAATGAAATATTTACGCTCTATCGTTACTATAATTTTTCTTCTATTTCAGACTAATCACTTTCATTGCCATCTTTACTTAACAAAAATCCATTAAAAATAGCAACAAGAAAATTTTAATTACTTAATACCGACAAAATATAATTCTTTCGAAAAAATAGCGCAAAGTCGCGTATAAAACGATAACTGTTGTACTGTCGCTACTGTACCTAGCATGTTAACTCGGACGATTAGTACTTGTTTAGGCATAGAGACGTTCCGATAGTATCGATACCTACTCTTATGAGTATTATTCAAATCATTTTCGATATCACTCATATAAATAAATAAATCGATATTGTCATTTTTTTAAAGAAATAATTTGAAATAATTTTGTTATGAATAGTACTCGAGTCCATTGTCACACGGGGATTTCACCAAGTACTGCTAATTATTCTAACTGCCAAGCATCTAACTAAAAAAGCGGAGGACAGCACCTAAAGAATTTAAACACTACGTGTTCCATTATTTAGTTCCATTGTAGGAATACTGCATGTGTTTGAAACATACGGAACTTTAAATAAATGCTGTAATAAAGAGACTGCAACTTTATTGTGAAGGACATTATTGTTCTTACTCAATACGCAAATGAAACTTACCACTGGAGAAGTCATAGTATCATATTTTTTGGAAAAATATATCCAGCTTTTATCTATATTTTAGATGTCGTAAATTGATAAAAATAAATGTATTCTTAACGCATGTTTATTTTTGGTAAAGGAATTATTGTCAATATACGACAGATTTTATGGAACTAATTTTGTCTTGCATAAACAGCATAATACTGTGAGAAAAAAATATGTTGTATAGGAGTTTGGTGGTGCTCCTCACCATTTTCTCCAAAATTACACTGACTCGACTATGTAGGCGAAGCAGCTGCCTAAAAGTTAGTGTATTATATGATAAAATGATTAGGTTAAATGAAATTACTCAGTTTCGTATAATTTTATATTAATCAATTTCTTCGTCGATTAGCGACGACGAATCCGAAAAGTCATCGTCCTGTACAAGTTTGTCAGCTGATATCTTATCATCTTTCATTTCAGCAACAAAATTATGCAAGGCTTTTCTAATATCCCACTGCAGGATTTTCAACCGACTGAAATAAAAAAAAAATGTATAAACTGGTCACGCCTTAGAGGTGAAGACAGGCAGGGCTTACATAATGATCGTAACGTACATGAGATTATAAACACTGATGAATAATCTCGAGATATTGTACTTTCGAAATATAGAAAACGATGTATCATGCTTAGTAATTAAATAGTAGAAATTAAATATAAGTTACTTTAAGTTTTTATTGCGTCTATCTATCTATGTATTTACGCTGGATCTACCTAGATATCATGAGAATTTGTTCTATTTTAGATAAAAATAATTGTTAAAGTTGAAATAGCCAAAATCAAGCAAAAACGCTGCTCTATGTAATGGCGCTGATCACGTAGTAAATATGTCAAGACGACATAACTCATAACAACTATTTATTTACGAAGTAAACAAATAGTATTACATAAGAGAAACAGAGATTAAATTTGTATTTGTATCCACTATGATTTTGTTTATAAAAATGAGCTACAAATTGTATGTAATAATATCACTGTTTTGACATGATAGCTTCCTGTTTACGTGTGACGTCACATGTCGGTAAACAGAACCTATTATTGGTTGCGATAACAACCAATAAGTATTAAAAAAAACATTAGTTCCTGAAATCAAAGTTCGTTCGCTACGGTACGTTTTAATTTCTCCATGACAACATTTCCGGTTTTCTTTCATGTTTGAAAGTAAATTAGTTTTCAAAACTCAGTAAAAAAATCATATTCTATTTGTACTTTTTCGTATTTGTATTAATATGTAAATTTCGAACTTTTCAAATTTCAGTTTATTAATATATTAGTTAAAAGGAACGGAAATGACTGTCTATGGTCTATTTGTTTCCTGCAAAAACCAACTTTTGCTACAGTCGCCATCTAGTGGAGGTTTTTTTAGTTCTTTCATTTTTTAATACTTCCTCATTGCAAAACGTTTTCGTCGTTTATTAAAATTCCTAAAGATGTTGCATTTTATTATATTTAATCAATTTCGCATTCACTTAAATATTCTTAATGAAAAATGCTAAGGGTGCCAGGGACCAAGTGGATTTTTCATTAAGAGTATGTTGCATTTTCTTTATGTTATTTTACTAATTTAAAAGATATTTTGTCTGCGGATTCTAAGAAATTAACTTTATTAGATCATTATCTCACAGGATAACCATATTACGCAACTTATTTGATTAATGTCAAAAAGCCTATTAAAAACGTGTAAGCGTGCTAGACTTTCAGTTGTTTTTAAAATAACATGTGCGTTTCATCTAGACTGGCGCTCAGACACATTGTGCACGTGGTGCAAAACTAGTTGGCTAGTCAGCGCAGACTATAGTATAGAAACAGTAGAATATCACGTCACCTGGTCATTTGGTTGAATCCATGAAACGAATATCATGTAATGAATAGCGTGCTAGCCATTTGACTGCAGTATATGATAAAGTAACTTACGCTTCCGCCTCGTGCCTTTTCAACTGTGTGATGTGAATGAAGGCTTTAAGGATTGCTTCTGTATCCTCAATGTCTGGTTCATTAAGTGTTAACTCATTCATGTTTCTTATTGGCCCCTGAACAAAATAAAATAAAATGTTATCTATCATAACTAGTTTACTCTATGCAGCCCCTAATCAAGTTACTTCTAGAAGATTAACTAAACAATTGACTATTACTTACCTTAAAACTGTTATTGATTTGTTCCTGAGTAGCAAACGCTATATTAAATATTTCATTTGTTATATTATACATTGAATTCATGCGATTGTTTGTTATCTTAAAGACGAACGTCCTTCTGAACTGGAAAAATAGGTTGTTTCTATCCTTGTGGATTCCATCAACAACGAGTATCATCGATTTTTTCTGTAAATAGATTTCGGAATTTATCTATTTAAATAACTTCTTACGTAGTGAAAGAGCGAAAACAGTTAACAAAATGCATCTTACACCATAATAGTTTACACAATTTAAAAAGTACGTTACTTCAATGTATTAAGACTGTATCAACCTTTTACAACAAGCAACTCCAGTATTAAAATAAGGTACCTACACAGCTTTACAACGTATAAAACACGTCGCATCAAAATTTCGATTCACGTCGCATGAGCGTAAACAGTTTGTATCTTACGAATAACTTCATAAAAAGAGTGTATACAGTTCTACAATTAACAACTTACATCGTGATGTAGAACGTCCACGGTAAAGGTACTAGGGTCGTGTACAGTAGGCGGCAACTGACCCAGTAGACTACCCACTACTACCTTTGTTCTGTAAACATGGGCATGACGAGAAGTTCGTTCGATTCTATCCAACTTATTTTTATCTAGAATATTACGTGAAAGATGCGCGTATTTAGGTACTATTTGTTCATCACCCTCTGAAATATAATGTTAAGTGTTGAAAATTAATTAATTGTTGGTGCAGCAAAATTTATGTAGATAGTTAGGTGGCCGGAGAATGACAGACTAACTAAAGTAGTCTATAGCAATTTTTTTATTCCTCTTTAACCTTAGTTGAAGCTACAAGTTACTAAGCCATAATATATAAATATAGTTGCCATCATTAAATACACACCACTAAAATTTCCCACCATAGTTAAAACAGCATCATTATCATAAAACTGAAAAGATTTCTTCCTTCTACAGTCATAGTTTGAAAAATATAATGTAATAAATTTTTCGGCTACCATCTTTGTTCTTCGGTCTGGTGTCACTAGATAATTCTTGAAATAAGGCAACATTAAACCGTGTTGATTTAAATTGATACCATCCTGTAAAAGGGTTGGATAATGAAAATGACAATTATAGCTAATTATTTTTTATAAGGTTGCTTATATTCTACATTATCTACTATCATGAACTTTGCTTAAAGGTATTATATGGATATACTTTACAAATCATATGACATCAACATAGTATATTGTAATTCCTTACATCATTTCTTGTCTCTATCAATTGGTATTATTATATTTATTGGTGTAGGAACACAAGAGGGGGGACTGCTCAGATAGTTCAGCAACAAAAAAAAAATGGCGATTACATCTGGGCTATTTGGAGCCTCCCCAAAATCTTTTGTCCTTTTATTGATACATTTAATCACTCAAAACTAAACTCAATAAGTATGGTGTCTGTTATGACAATATATATTTCCTAAATAAATATTAATTTTACCAGTTCTGTTAATCTGGGAAACTTTATAACAATATTTTTGACATAATCCATGGGATCCAGTTCATCACATAATGGGTTTCCTTCAATCCACAATTTCTCTATCCTACTGCTAACCCTCAGCACTTCTGATATAGAAGGTATCTGTAATGAAAATATTAGTTTTAAATTATTAAAGGTATAGTATAGTAGGTGCAATTGAATAGTTGATGATAAATAAGATTAGATATGCTAGGATATTGTAGTATTTGCTAAGAGAAATAACAAAAATAAATGTCACTTAATAAATTTCACTCAGAGGGTATAGAATTTTCCATGGACATCACCAATCAAACTTACATTATTGTGACTCAAATTTACAGATGTCAATTCCCCTCTGATAAAAAAATTTAATATGTCAGTAGGAACCTGGCTGCAAAAGAAAAATTAAAGAAAAATAAAACAGATTATTAACTTTTTAACTTTAGATGCATATTATATTTACAAACCTTAAGTCATTGTTACTTAAATTTAATGTTCTTGTTTCTCTTCCAACTCTTAACATTAATATTTTAAAATGAGACAACAGATTTATTTTATAAAAATTAATTTTCTTTTCTATGAATTCTGTAAAAAAAAGAGTTCCTAATCTAATAAAATGGTTTCATTTTAACGGGTTTAGTTAAACATTGTCATTTAAAAGCTGTTACTTCAGAACAAATTGAAAGTGTTTCATCATATTGTGCTAGTAGATAACTGTATAGAAATGACATTTACAGTTAGTATATTTAAAGTATGATTTTACATCATTTGAAATCTTATAAGTGTGATTCTTATTACCTGGCTCAGAACAAAAGTTGGATAAGTCTAGTTCATAGTTTTCACTCATCCTACGGCTTACAACTCCACAGATAATATCCTCAACACTGATAGGAGTATCAAAACATTCCTCTGAATTCTTATCATTAAAGAGAACATCAATATTAAACATGTTTCTTTGGAAAGGGAACATGAAATCCAATTTTATCATTTTCAAGATAAGACTGAGACTACTAGTGTAGAATGATGTGATATCCCCCATTGACACATACATAACTGGTATAATAGTAGCTGTGAAGTATTCAGCTAATGTATCAAATAGTTGAATTGCAGTGCCAGACCAATTGTGAACCTAGAAATGTTATAATAACGTAATTATAAAGTTACTTAATCTAGGTTTTATTCTGATGTTTAGATTTGCTTTCTGGACGGACAAATGTTCGATTATTAACTTATAGAAAAGTTAATTATCAAATCCAATATTATCAATATAATATTATTATTTGATAATTTTGTGGCAAATAATATTGAAATCTCAATCAAATTTTTATGAGTATAAGCTTACCATAATTTTATGAAAGGAGTGTTTCGCAGCTTCTTCTTCTCTAGCCAAACAATTTTCAACATATTCCATGATTGTGCTACTCGATGTAACTCTATTTAATAATGCTTTTCTGTAACTATCAAGTTGGAGCTTTTTTGCAGACATATCTAGAAAGGGATCAATTAATTAATTTTATTTTACAAAGTCAAAACCAAACAAACACAAACAATCAACAAGATTAGAGATGAGCCGATACGTATCGATATATCAATGTAAAAATATCGACATCAAAAAACTGCAATAACGATTTACTTTTAAACTATCGCGCAGCATTATCAAATACTTATAATACCTAGTATGGAGTCTTGGCCTTACTACGGCCGTAACGTCGGCGCAGGTCAGTGTAAAATAGCATCTCAATACCCGGTATTATAAGAAAGCAATAATGATATCGAAACCTAATATCAATTGGTAGTAAGTACTAATTATCGATTTCACTATGGGCAATTCTATCTGTCAGCTAGTTGTTACTGTCTAGCGTTGTGTTACTCACTCTTTTTTATTGAGGATGAGTGATTACCTCGTTTTCCCTCGTGAGGAGCTCGCGAGTTACCTCTCATTTGAGGTGAGGATAGGTAATGTTATAGTAACAGTGAATGTGAATTCTAAGAAATAAACTTTATTAGATTATTATTTAACAGAATGACCACAACACGCAACTTATTTGCAGTAGTGTCAAATGTTCCATTTTTAAAATCGATCAATGAATTATATTTCGAATCATATAAATATATTTCTAAATAAAACCGATACATTTTTAATAACTTTGATTTTTACTTAGACTAATTAATATCTTTTATCTATAAAATCTTAAATACTTATTTGTGAAGAAACACATAAACAAACCTGAATCGTTCCAAAAAACTCATAAAACTTAACCCATTCCCTCAATCTTGAATATATTGAGTAAGTATCGAGTCGCCTTTTCATTCGAATCAACTCGCTATTTAGCTTCTCACTCAAAAAGTGAGGAGCTTAATGAGTGGTTCAAAGTTGAAAAACGAGTACTTCCTCATTTTGTTGAAATGAGGAACTCAAACGAGGCACCTCGCGAGCGAGGGGCTCGTCACTATTACTGTCATAGACTTTAGACGTTTGATCAGCTTCACGATGGTTTAACGCCTTTAAGCTTGCGGGTTGTCATACTTGTAAATGTATTGGAATCGGTATGGTGGTTCTAAATATATCAATTAAATAGTAAAATGTGTCTTTCACTTTTTAGTAGTTTTTATTTATATAATTTGTATTTAATTTTAAAATATATGTGCCAGAAATATGCCACTATGTTATAGTTTTTTTTATATTTTTTCTCAACTCGAGTTGCATGTTATCTTATCAAGGTTAAAACATCGATGTGTTCTAGCTAAATATCGATGTTTATTCAACATATATGAATACCGACATGCATACCGTTGACTTGACTCTGATATACATAGTATCTCCTTTTAAGTAGGTAGTTAATAATTAATCCTTAATCTGTGAAATCCTCCTCGATCTGTGACTCTGATACGTCATGTACGTCATTTTGGAAGAAATTCTGAGGTTGCTTTGGAAAAAAAACTGAGTGTGGTCATTGCTGTATTTAATTTTATATTTCTAGTGTCTTTCGAATTGTTAAAAAAAATGAAGACCATTTTATGTAAAATATGTCGAGTCCTGTTATTTGTACTAGTTTTTATGAGTATAATATCTCATGTAGTTTTAGGTAACTCCTCGCCAAAAAAATTACAAATAGGGGTAAAAAAACGCCCTGCAGAGTGTCCCATAAAGAGTAAGAAAGGAGACTTGTTACATATGCACTATACGGTAAATATAGGTCTAGCTTTTATTACACGGAATTCAACAGTAAATTCATTAGCATCGAGTGGATATAGAAAAAAAAAACTGTTTAGAAAACATTCTGATATCTTTTTTTCAGGGTACACTAGAAGATGGTACAGAGTTTGATAGTTCCATTCCACGAGGTAATCCTTTAACTTTCACTCTTGGGTCTGGCCAAGTAATCAAAGGTTGGGATCAGGGATTGATAGGCATGTGTGAGGGTGAACAAAGGAAACTAGTGATTCCTCCTGAGCTGGCATATGGGGAGGCTGGAGCTCCACCAAAAATTCCGAAGTCTGCAACGCTTACATTCCATGTGGATCTTGTGAAGATAGAAAGAAAAGATGAACTATAATAACAAGTTATTTTTATACTTTTTTTAAACTGTTGCATTACATTGAATTGCATAAAGAGTGCAACATTACTAGACAATTATTGTTTAGGTATTTTTATTTTGTAAATTAATAGTGGATTTTGTTAATATTTTTATGCAATAAATTGTATGCCTGGTTTTAGGTTGATTTTATTATGATAGTTTTCAGACATCCGAAGTTTTCCATGTTGTTAATTTTTCGATTGTCTTTGAAATATTGTAATCTAAATTGGTAAAACAAACAACCAGTGTTTCACCATTATAGTTAATAAATAAATATCAAACAACATCTCACACATTGATCAGATTCCGAGGTAAGTAGCTTAGGCATTTTTGTTACGGATATCGGAAACAACAGGAGTAATACAAATATATACATAATAAAAATAGAAAACACCCAGATGTAGAACAAACATAATTGTTAATCACAAAAATGTTTGTCCTGGGTGGGGATCGGACCCACGACTCTCTGCGCAATAGTAGAAATGTTACCACCGCGCCATTGAACTCATCAATTATTAACTTATTAACATTATCTTTTCATAATGATCTGTGATACTTTTTTTTATTCACCTACAACAACAAGCACAACAGCCTAACTTTAATTACCAGTCATAATGTAACAGTTTACATACTAACTAATCATTTATGTACTACTTCTAAAATAATTTTCAAAATAATGTGACAGGAAGTGTTAAAAGGATAGGTCGTAATAGATGTATCGTTTTCCACAATTAAAGATGCCAATGACTTTTTATATAATAAAAATTTGATCGATTTTAAACTTCGTGCATTTATTCCCGTATTTAATGTTACTAAATTTGGTATTGTATATGGTGTACCAGCCGACTGGACACCAAAAGAAATTAATAGCAATGTCTTTATTCCAATGGGTTGTGGAGAAATTATAAAATTACGGAGACTCAATTATAAAGTTCACGTTGGGTCAGTGATTTGGAAACCAACTCAGTCTGTTGTATTTACCTTCAATGGGCAAGTTCTTCCTAGAAGAGTATACATTTGTTATAACCAGTTAAACTCTATACCTACCCAACAATCCAATGCTTTAATTGTTGTCTATATGGACATACGAAACTTGTTTGTCGGTCACCTCCGAGATGTTTCAAATGTGCTCAGGATCATAAAAGTGAAAATTGTTTAGTTGAGGAAAGTTTTGCACTGTGTATAATGTGTTCAGGGTTTCATTACTCTACGAATAAAATCTGTCCGGAATTCCAACGTCAAAAAGACATTAAATTGACTATGTCCCAAAGCAGTATCTCTTACATGGAAGCTAGCAAACTCCACCCACCAACATCAAACCCATATGCTGATGTTGTAGCAAGAAATCAAACATCTGACACAAATAATTGTAAGAGACAGGATCAAAAATCACAAAATACCTCATATAAAAAGACTGTTTACTGAAAACCACGTTCACCGATAATTTTAACGAAAGGATATGACAAGCTAACACAATAAGATTATAAGTGATTATGATATGCCTTGTACCTCATCAAATGGTTCTGCATTTAAACCAAGTACCAATGAAGAATTTGAAAATAAGAATGTAATTGAAACAGTTATTTCATAACTTAATACTTTGTTAACAAAACATACATTAAAACCGTCCAACGTTGCCATTATAGTTGTAACAATATCTAATAATTGCCAATAATGGATCTAAAAATCCTACAGTGGAATTGTAGAAGTGCAACGTCAAAAAAAAAGTGACTTAATTCATTTAATTAACAAATACAATTGCACGGTGGTAGTAGTATCTGAGACGTGATTGAAGCCAGGCATTCTATTTGGAATTCCTGGTTTTACCTGCCTCAGAGAAGATAGACCAGATGGTTATGCAGGAGTAGCTATACTTGTTAAGAGTACAATTTCCTTCGTACGGCTGACCTTGCTAACGCATAATATAAATAGCTTTAATGTTATAGGGATTACATTACAAAATAGAACTTCTATATCCTTTCTCTTACTAGGCGATTTTAATTCACATCACCGCAGTTGGGGTAGTGGAATAACTGACACTACTGGACAACAATTATTAGAAATAGACTCACATAATTTATGTTTGTTAAATACAGGAGTTCCGACTCCTCGTACAAAACCTAATGAAAATGTCAGTGCTGTCGACCTATATATTTGTACTTCTGGATTAACTTCAAAATGAATTGGAATTCCCTTGATTAAACATGTGGCAGTGACCATTTCCCTCCAGTAATAAGTTTGACAGATAAGGTAACTACATTCAATTTTAGACGTAAAGCGCGCCTTAAATACAGATTATGCAACGCTGATTGGCAGAAATTCAGAATAACGGTTGATACAAAAATTTCAAAGCTACCTAATATAATTCAGTCTGAAATTTCAGATTGTTCTGAAGCATTAGCTAATTGTCTTAAAGAAGCTGCTGATATAACGTTTCCAATAAAAGGTACAGTTTTTGACAAAATCCCATGTCCTCCGTGGTGGGATCATGAATGCACTAACGCTATTAAGCAACGTAAAGAAGCTGAAAAAAAGTATAAGCTTTGCATGTCACCTGACAACTACGAACAACTTTGTAGCATAATTAAAACTACAAGAAAGTTATTATTAAAGCAGAAGAAAAGAAACGGTTGGTTCTCTTTTTGTGCCTCTCTCTCTCCCAACTCATGTCCATCCGACGTGAGGCGTAATATCAAACGTTTTAGATCAGAGTTTAACTCTCATTCTCATAATATTATCGATTCTTCTTTAGCTGACTCTTATATGGTACATTTGGCGTCTCCGACAGTTTTAGAACCAGAGTCCATGAACATTAATAATTTTATTCCACTTTCAATAAATCGAACTCTTAATAATCCAATTTCTCTCGCTGGACTTAAGGGTGTCTTAAGCAATGTTAATGATAGTTCGCCTGGTGAAGATGGGATACCATACTCATTTTTTGTAAATTTAAGTGATACAGCTCTTTCTTACTATATAGACTTAGTTAATCAAAATCTAGTCGCTGGTGAGGTCCCACTTTCATCGAGATCACAGATTATAGTTCCTATTTTAAAACCGGGCAAACCTTCTTCAAACCCATTATCATATCTGCCAATAGCTCTGAGTTGTACTCTTACTAAATTAACTGAACATTTGGTGAAAAACCGTTTAGAATGGTACCTATATTGAAAATAATAACATATTATCAAAGAGTCAGTTTGGATTTAGGAAAGACAGAAGTACTATTGACAGGATTGGCATTTTAATTTCCGATATTTATTTAGATTTTTCTAGCAATGATTATGTATTGGCAGCATTTTTAGATATTCATGCCGCATATGATAATGTTATTATAACTAAACTCATACAAAAATTAATAGATATGAATTACCGGAAGGTAATGCTAATCAAATTTATCTCTTGTATGCTCTCAGAAAGGTACATTCACTCAACCTCTTGAATGGTACAAGACTTACTAGGTTAGTAAGGAAAGGACTCCCGCAGGGATCTGTATTAAGTCCATTATTATACAACATTTAGGTTTACGATCTAGAAAATTGTTTAGATTACATTCAGATTCTTCAATATGCCGATGATTTACTTTTATACTCCATTAATAACTCTGTTGAGATCGCCAATAATAATTTAAATTCTGCCTTGAGACAACTTAAAAGATGGCTTGAGAATAACGGTCTAAAATTATCAGTCGAGAAAAGTACAATAGTATTGTTCACTTGAAAACGTAATTCACCAGATTAAACCCTAGAAACAACTCGACACTAGCAAATTGTTCACACATTATTGACATACAGCAAAAAAAAAATGTTTTTTTGATTTTTGTCATTTCTGAAATAAAAAGAAATTCGGGAAGTTTTACGCCTGCGTCTGCGTCTCTAAAGTCTCCGAAGACTCACCCCGAGAACACCCAAGACTCGTGAATGTTATACGTTTCTCGCTTCCTTTATATTTCTTCTCGCCAAGAAGGCTCGGCGAGACTTTTCGGTGATAGATTCAATCCAATTTAGACGATTTTAGGTAATTCAATACTTAGTATTTAGACGTCCGAGCAAAAACTTATTCCAAACTCTAATCCAGTAAATACGTCTCAACTCTACACCACACCAACCACCAAATGTCATTGTCGCTAGTAATTGTGTTCTGTGGTCATTGTTATCAGTATCAGGCAAAGGCATGTCAGAAGTCTCATTCCAAATGTGATTTTCAGAAAGATTGTAAATTACAGGATATGAAATTCCAAGTTTCAGAAATTAACTAATATTAAGGGGAATCGATCAAGAAATGCTTATTTGAATATTGGGAAGTGTGAAAGTGCAACATAATGGTGAAGATAATATTTTTGCATCCTGATTTGGGAATTGGTGGAGCAGAGCGTCTCGTGTTAGATGCCGCATTGGCGTTTAAGAAAAAGGGCCACGAAGTTGCGTTCTACACGAATCATCATGATCCCACTCATTGTTTTGCTGAGACTAGGGACGGCACATTTCCAGTGACAGTAGTTGGTGATTGGATGCCGCGATCTATTCTTGGACGATTCAAAGCTGCTTGTGCTTATGCTCGTATGGTATACGCTGCTATTTATCTAGCTTGGTATGTGATTCCAGCAGAAGAGCCCACCTTAGTCTTTTGTGATCTGATATCATTATGCATTCCATTTTTGAAAATGGCTAAAGCGCCATTTCGCATAGTATTTTACTGTCATCATCCTGACAAATTGCTGTCTTCAGAAGGAGGGTTGTTAAAAAAATTATATCGTGCTCCTCTAAACTGGTTGGAAGAATTTACTACTGCTAGAGCAGATAAGGTTTTGGTGAATAGTAAATACACAGCAAGAGTCTACCAAGATGCATTTCAGAATATAAAAGATGTTCCTGACATTTGTTACCCCTCTATTAATACCGAATTTTTTAAAGCAACTCCTCCAAAACCTTTAAAAGAAGTTGTACCAGTTGGTACAGATAAATATGTGTTTTTATCTATTAATAGATATGAAAGAAAGAAAAATCTTCAGTTAGCTTTGAGAGCATTAGAATTTCTGAAACATATTATTGAGGAAGAAGACTGGCATAAGGTACATTTGATTATGGCAGGAGGATTTGATCCAATAAATTTAGAGAATATGGAGCATTTCATTGAATTGACTGACTTGGCTACAGAGTTAGATATAGAAGATAAAGTAACTTTCTTGAAATCTCCGAAAGATGACGAAAAGGTTTCCCTACTTTACAATTGTAGAGCATTGATTTACACACCATCAAATGAACATTTTGGTATAGTACCCTTAGAAGCAATGTATTACAGCAAGCCTGTGATTGCAGTCAACAGTGGAGGGCCTACAGAAACTGTTGTGAATGATATAACTGGTTTCTTATGTGATCCAACAAGTGAATCGTTTGCTATTGCTATGAAAAAATTACTGAGTCAAGAATTATGTGACAAGTTAGGTAATGCAGGCAGAAAACGATTTGAGACAAAGTTTTCATTTGATGCATTCACCGAGCAACTGGATGGTATACTCTCTAGGGAAAGGCAAATAATCTCAGAGGCTCGTGCTATAGAGTATGAACAGAGGAAGAAGAAATAACATTCTGCTGACACTCCTACAATATGCGATATTGTTTGAGTGTTATACCAAATACAAAAATATGATAAATGTAAAGAGCTGAATGGACATCTTCACTTTGATTAGTTGAATCTTACATTATTGAATAAGCTTTATTGTATTTTACAAAATAATATTCAGACATGTATATTATTATGAGTAATGAAGCCATACATTTAAACAATGTCTTATTTTTTGTTGTCATTTTTGCAACACTATTCTAACAATATAAACTTTGCAAGATAATAACACAACTGTTTGGTGATAATTTTGAAGTTCTGAGTGCATATGTATTTAAAGTGATATTGTTTTTGCTATTTTTTATGTATTTAGTCATAATAGTACTTATTTGCAGATCTCAATTAAATTTTCTAATACAATATAGATTTATTTAGTAATGCTATAATGGTTCTTAAACGGTGGCCTGTGGACCTCTTGTGGTCCATGGAGTGCAGGTATTATTTGAATATCATATGTAGAATGATCCTCTATTTCTCCATATATATATTTAAGAACTGCATACTAAATCTAGTGGTTGGTCAGTGGAAAGACAATTTAGGCAAATGGTATCTAATGACCGAAAGGTTAAGGACCATTGTCAAGTGTGATTGTTGTAAAAAATAAATATATATGTATATATTATATGCCAAGCTATAAGATGTTTAGAAGCAAGTTTTGTAATCATATTTTATTAAGATAACATTAACATGTTCCAGTACTTTTTAGGTTAAGGATCATCAGTGTTTGTAAACATTCAAGAGAGTGGCCTTCTGACGTTATTGGTCTTCTAACATTAATCTACAAATGAGCAAATGGATGTAATCATGCATTATCTCGCTACATATTTCAATATTCTTAAATCTAAGAGAACTAAGATATACAAACAATTAGTAATATTTGCTTGTATTTCTCTTTTTTTTCACTACTATTACTAATTCAATATGTAAAAGCGAAATAAAACATTACAAATCAAAGGCCTAGTTTATAGCTTTGTGACAAAACATAATGTATAGATGTCATCGTACACATTCTAACTAATGTTAATAAAAAAATACATAACTGTTGAGTATATCGAAGCTTTTTATTCAACACTAGCTATCCGCCAGCCGTCTAGCACATTTATTCTCAAAAAACCATTTAGTAGGCCTATATGTTAATTTATTATCCATATACCAAATTTAGATTTTTAGAGTTGCTCGGTGGCGTAGTGGATAAGCGCCGCGGCCCACGATCGTTGTCGTTAAGCAACTTTCGCAAGGGTCGGTCACGGGATGGGTGACCAAAAAATTATTATCTTGAGTTACTCCGTGCTTCGGAAGGCACGTTAAGCCGTTGGTCCCGGCTGCATTTGCAGTCGTTAATATCCTCCAATCCGCATTGGGCCAGCGTGGAGGGTCATGGCCCATCCTCCTTAACCATCCATAAGGAAGGCCTGAGCCCCTGCAGTGGGGACGTAAAAGGGCTGATGATGATGATGATGATACCAAATTTTATTGAAATCCATGCAGTATATTTTATATGAAAGTGTAACAACATGCATCCATCTTTACAAACTCGCTTTTATAATACTAGTAGAATTATTTTCCTATTTATCTTTTTTGTAATAAAAATAAAAGAGTATTTAACAGTAATAACAATAATTTATTGCTATAAATCACAATTTTCATTCTATCAACGTCTTATCAATACAATCATAATTTTTTTCTACATTTTCCTGTGGAATTGGATCTAATATTTCAAATTGTAGATCATATTGTTGGTCCAGACCCATGTAACTATCACTCATGATGTAAACAGTGTATATTATGCGCCCTGAAAAAAAAAAACTGAATTTAGTATTTTCTATAATAATACTAATAAGAGGAAAGATGGAGGGAATAGATTTGAAAGAACTTAGAATCAATTTGATTTGTCAACATTTGCCGCGCTTCGAAATTTGACCTGCGCAGGTATATCAGTGAGACACATCAGTTGTATCGTACTGTACCCGAGTTAAAACCATAGAAAATATTCGTTAGTTTAATTTAGAGCTCTTATTCTTTAATTTAAAAAAAAGCACTGTCATTTAGTTCTAAAGAATTTTCTTCAATGGCGGCTCAGAAAATGAACACGAACTAAAAAACAAATGTGTATTTGACATGTGTGTTTGTCAGTCATTGGCGTCAATGTTGGTTTTCATGGCTCAAAGGTGTATGAAATACTCTAGCACGCTTGCCAAACGCGGGTATATGTTTGTGTTGGGTCTTGAACTCTTGTTTGGTACGTGTTTATTGTTCGTAGTAAACTGCTATTTATGGAATGCTGTAACGCTTAAGGTCGCAATCGCTTTTTTATTTGATTTGAACGATCATGAAACATAATAAAAACTTAACCAATTCCATCGAGTGATTGCAGTTAGCATTCAATTATATCGTTTTAAATCACTCGATAGCTTTTAAAGTTGTTTGCGTCTCACGCTTGCCTTAACAATTCAAATTCAATATGAATCGTTCATTCATTTTGACTTATCTTTCAAAAAACATCGCGTTCGCAACCGCTATCACAGGCCTCTGCTTACCTCGTTGTGAAGGCGTGTAGAAAGTGATTTGCGAGGTTCCTTTCGAAGCAACTCTCTTCAACGCGTGTAGTTCTCCATATTCCACAGTACCCAAGGTCACGAACCAACCTTCGTTCTTGCCGCGCGGGAATCTCGGACATATCACATTGTTGGGATTGCCGCCGCGACGTTGCATGTCCAATATTAGAGTGTATTCCTGGGACAAATATTATTTCATTAAAAATTTGTGATGCAACGAATACCACTTTACCTAATATATATTCGATCAATGTTGATTGTTGATTCAAAATGAAAAATGCTATAATAATAGGGTATTTGACATATTTTGAAAAATAGTTATAATTTTTTAGATAATAAGCACATTACATTAACATTTCGGGGATATTTACTGAATTTATCAATAAAAATAAAAATTTAAAGTTTTAAATTTCCGACCGCGAAAAACGCTGTTAAAAATTATTAAATTTGACTTAATTGGGAATTAAGTAAAATTAGTTAATAACAAAAAAAATACGCTCTGTTTAGACCATCACGTCATGAAATTTCTCCGTTTACGTCATTAACTGGCCTCGCGCTTGCCTCTTACTATTATGCAAACTTTTAAACATATATTAGCTGTATACTTTCTTATAAAACGGACTATGTTTTTTAGATACCGTTCAGTAATGGTAAGGTTTACCTGGTCACCATGTAGAGGGAGCCACCGATCTCTTGAAGGAGGTTGTGGTATACGTTTTTCTTGCTCGTGGTCACCGTCGAACCATAAACCTCGTACCATCAATTTTATGTCTAGCGTCGGAAGGTCGCAAATAACCTGACAAGTAGATTTTTCAATCAAAATAATGAGATTCAAGAATAAAATCAAAATAACTAAGCTAATTGACTCAGTGAACTTAGCTAATTTTACATTTTTAACAAATTAAATCAAGTTAAATGGCAATGTTCAAAATTTTTATTAATTTAGATACGTTGCGATGTTATTATTATTTATGCACGGCTTCTGTAGTTATTTTTATATCTATACGACATATAAAAGCAGTAAAAGAAGTATAGTTCTTGTTAATAAACCTTTATGGTTGAATTTGGGTTTATGATTCGTTGGACCGTTGGGGACGGGTTCATTGGTAAGTATAATAACGAATCACAATCATTAACTTGTTAATGGATCAAGATTATTAATCTATACTAATAATATAAATAGAAAAGATTTATTGTATCTTTGTTTAGTTCCGAAACCACTTGACGGACTTTAAAAATGCTTTCACCTAAGGGAAGCTACAACATAGGCTATTATTTTCGCCAGTATTATATAAATCTTACCCTATGTATCTGCTCGATTTGATTCTCCTCCATTTCTCGTCTCAAATATTTCGCTAATAGCTCATAATTCCTCATGCACGCCACCTTCAGTCCGTTTAACATGGTACACGGTTTGTTAGTATCTTTGCTCATATGCGAGAACATGTACAGATGTTGCGAGTCCACGTGCGGGAGGGTAGTTAGAGGTGATTCTGCTGGCCATCGAGCTTGCACAATGCTTTGCATTAACATTTGACATGACAGACAGACGGCCAACCAGCCGTTTTCTGCTGATGTGTCTATCATCGCCTGAAATTTTAAATATATTATAAGCATTGAAAGGAAACTTGTCCGTTTATGATTTCAATAGCGGACTTTCTTAAAAATAATGAATTTAGAATTAACTTTTTTGGTTTTTATGGTTGGAGTGGGGGCATTTGTTAAGCAAGTCGCTCCCAGGCAAAGCTTATTATTTAATGAATGAATGAATGAATAAATCCTTTATTTAATAACTGACTTAAAAAAACGGCTATATGCATGTCGGACTCGCGCACGAAGGGTTCCGTACGGAAAACTAGCAAAAAAAATCACATGTTGTATGGGAGCCCCCATAAAATTTTATTGTATTATGTTTTATTATATCATAGTATTTGTTTTTGAAGCGGAAACAAAAATACGTCGTCTGTGAACATTTCATCTGTCTAACTGTCACGGTTCATGAGATATAGCCTGGTGACAGTCAGACAGCGAAGTGTTAGTAATAGGGTTCCCCTATTTACCCTTTGAGTATGGAACCCTAAAAACAGAGGTTACCAATTTTGCAGTTAATATTTTACCTGGAGTATCCTTATGGTCTGATCGAGTACAGACTTGGTATCGGTCAAGTAATCGGCATTGGGTAGAGTGAGCCGAGTCATATGCGCCTGCAGTAACAGGAACGCCTTCACGTTGGACGAGTCCAGGGAGAGAGAATCCACAGGTAAACGACAGTTTTGGGCCAATTCCCTACACACAAATCACACGTCATTTAGATGGTTTTATTTTCAGTAAAAAAAAAATATTGTTTTAAACCTCCATAGTTACATTACGGGCTCAATGGCGCGGTGATAACGTTCCTACAATAGGGGATGACGACTGGGTAAAAAAAAATGCAATTCTATTTAGTCCGTCAGTCAGATAATAGAAAAATATTAGATAAGTTTTTTTTTTTACTTCAATTTAACAAGAAATAGCTTAGATAACAGGCATTAAAGTTGAGGAGTGGGGACTCGCTACGTCACAGTTTAGTAGAAAACGTACCATAACGTGACGTCATGCGAAATTTCAACCCAATGTAACGCCGTAATTTTATGATTACGAAAGAAATAAAAAAATACGTGTTTAATATTTTTTAACACTCTACCTGACGGACAAACAAACAAAAATTAGTCGTCATCCCTATTGCGCCGAGAGTCGCGGGTTCGATCCCAGGACAAACATTTTTGTGATTAACAATTATGTATGTTCTGTGTCTGGGTGATTTCTATTTATATTATGTATATATTTGTATTCCCCCGTTGTTTCTGATATACGTAACAAAAGTGCCTAAGCTACTTACCGCGGAATCGGATCAATGTGTGTGATGTTGTCCGATATTTATTTATTTATTAGATACTGCCAACCTTTCGGGGACTCTTTATAACAAGGTACATGGTAATTAATTTTTAGAGTGTATAACAGATATTAGCAAAAATATATATTAAAAGTGTCGAATTATAACTATCCGTTTGTATGCAGTCAACAATAACGGGTATTTTAATAATTTTTTGCTTTCCCCTTCAAATGATGCGCTTACCCAACATTGTTGCCACAGAAAATCGGATCTAATGATTTCATTTCACGCGCTTTTGGTAGTTTTTGAATATTATAAAATGTGGTACGTGTACGAATGTCTTAATATAAAAAGTTTTTGAATTTTAAGCCAGATTATGTACAAAGGTGAAAATGTTCTTCATATACAAATGTAACTTGCCATAAACAGTAAAATCGGAATTCTCCGATAAATTTGTATTTTGATATAGAATACGCATATTTAACTATTTATTTTTTGTGTAATAGAAAACCACGAAGTTAATTTATTTTGTTCCTAGTTACTTCTTTTAACCCTTCAAACCTGACACCACACATTTAAAAAACGAATGCAAGCACATGCGTCATCGCTAAAGTAGACTTTAACTGCCTGAAAATAAGAAGAACTAGCGGGGTTTCACGGAATGGCGCAATAGTCACGTGAGCGGTCGAATTCGGCCGATCGCGTGCTGAAGGGTTAAATGCTTTAAATATCATGTGACTCACCCGTTAAGCAAGTCCTCGTTATGTCGTACCGGTAAGGTCGCATATTCTTCAGCATCCGCTAGCACCCGCAGAAGTTGATCTGTATTCAAGTCTCCGCGCAACTCTTTACTGAAGTGAGCCATAGTCTTGTGAGACAAGTAATAGTAGGAAGCTATACGACCCATCCATGTCGAGTGGACCGTACGTTGGTCCTGATACATATGAAAAACACAAATATGTAAACGCATCTGTCTCAAAATGGCGCAGTGGTTACCGCTTTTAAAGTTAAGTTAACTTTCACAAGGATCAATCATAGGATGGGTGACCAAATTTTTTATTATCTCAAGGTTCTTCGTGCTTTAGGCGGCGCATTAAATCGGGCTGATGATATAGTCAAAATGAGCTTATTTATTACTATTTAAACTTGAGGCTCTAGCCTTTTCTACAAATTAAAAACTAAAGGGAAAACAAATCATAAACAACAGGGCAATGGGGATTGATGTTTTTTAATGGAGATGATGATTGATCTTAGATGTAAAAAAAGATGCTAATAAATGGAGAGCAGAGTAATTAAATAAAAAAGTAAAGTATATAATGTAGTCACTACTAACCTCTTCGATTTCTACACAATTAGCGTTAGAAAGTTGGTCAAGTGATGTTTGGACGAGATTGCTCAAGTAGTAATTAACGTCTTGTGGTTCCAAACTCTCTAATTTGTAATAGGACGGGTTCTTGAGCAGTCTCCGGAAGAAATAAGTCCATGTCATATAGTCCAGAATGTCTTGTTTCGTTTGTACAGTTCCTGAAAACAAAAGTAATATTAACCCTGAACACAATACACTCCGTTTTTTGGCAAGTCGTGTACAGATGAGAGGTGTTGTAGCCTATAGTTGACGTCCTTCCACACAAATGGTCCTTCGAGCTGGATTATATTCAAAGTATATAAAAAACCAAATGTTTTTTTATATCTTTAAATTTAGTTAACACCTTCCGTGGTTGAGCGGCTCATTTTGGGCGTGATTTGAGGTCCCAGGATCGATTCTTGTGAGGTCAATGTAGAAAATGGTCTTTTCTATATTACCTCGAGTCTGAGTGTTGAAGTATATTCGTTGTTTCAAATTTCCATAATACAAGTACTTTAACTCAGTGGCGGACTAACCCTCGTAATTAAGCCCGGGGCGTCTTCCGGTCCAGATCGACCCAACCCCGCATCTGGCTGTACCTATTTGTCTACGGGTCCAGGACCAGAGGCCCGTACCGCCCCTACACCCCCATTAGTCTACCGACGCTTATTTACTTAATTTAGGATCTCAGCAATGTATGTGATGTTATAAAAAAATTGTAAATTAAATAAATATCCCGACTGTATCTGAAGTAATTAAAATTCTTCAATCCGCACTGCCGTCTGACAGCAAAACACGGTAGGAACAGTTACCGGTTTTAAGATAATTACAATGGTTTAGAGAAAAATAATTATTTTAATATTATTTTGTAAATAAACTTTTCATGAGCAAAAATAATATAACCTTCAGTCTTAATTTTGCATACAGAGTTTTGCCATGTGAAGGCAGAGCTTGAGGCCATTGCCCATTCTCCCTATTCGAATTCATAGACAAGGAAGGCCAGTGACCCGGCAATGGAGATATTAATGATGTGGTCTGATAATGATAATTTATACGTTACCAGCAACAATTTCGGCGTTCAAATGGTCGGCTAATACTTCCAGTAAGCTGGATTCGACCGGGAACGGTTCGTACAGGAACTTTTTGTAGAAATTCTTCTTCTGGTCGTGCACTAACACTACCGCTACGCCTTCGTTGTCGTACTACAAAGTGAAAACACTCATTAAATATGATTTAAAATAAAAGTAACGATTAAATGATTCTAAACTGGTTTAAGCAATTTGCCTCTTTACAATTTTATTAGATATTTCGAGTCATTTTTTAGCAAACATGTCTAAGTGTAGCTACATGTCATAAGTAGTGTGCGCCAAAGCGGTGATAAATTATCGTCAGTAAAGCTTCATTAGTTAAACTCTATTAAGAATTTGGACTTTTGGCATGGCATGGGTCACTATTTACAGCGAGGGATTTATATAAATTACTGTAGAAATTGTTTTATTTATAGTACATAAGTAAAGTAGATGAAATATATAGCAAATAACTAGTTTCCATTGCGAACTTCACACATACCAGTATTAAATAATTTCTGAACGCACCCTGTCTGGAAGATATCAAGAGATTTTATGGGAAAATAAAATTGTTGCTTTAACTATTTTTTTGCGAACTTTTCTTGGAATTCTACAAATATTCTAAATCCCAAATAGCCAATCAGTCTACTCATTCACAAGTTATATCATTTTATATAATTTGTATGTAGGATATAATATCATATGTAAAACTGGAAGATAATTAATTATCAAAGTGATCTTAAACAAGGCCTCAAAATAATATACCTGTGGTCGTCCAGCTCTGCCCATCATTTGCAGTACGTCTGTTATAGGCATATCGACGTATCGTTTCTGTTTGCCGTCGTAGTATTCTGTTCCTTTGATCACCACGAGATGTGCTGGGAAGTTCACACCCCAAGCTAAAGTTGCCGTGCAGATGAGGACCTTGGCGTAAAAGGGATACAGTTCAAATTGCAATTTCGTATTCACTATTTTTTATAATAAATAAATATTATACAACATACACTGCTCATTTCCAATAATAAGTAGCTTTTAGCACTTATAGTATGGAAATTTGAAATGACGAAGGTACCACTACACCCAGACCCGAGACAAAATAGAAAAGTTCATCTACTGTATCGACTTGTCGTATATTTATAGTTGACTGAAAAATAATAAAAAACAATGGTGGTATTATAAAAAAAAAAAAAAAACGAGCATTAATTTTATTTATAATTATGAAATATTCAAGTTTCAATTTTAGAGTTTGCTGATTCGGCTATATCTCTTTACTACTACTCTACGTTTGTTTACCTGTATCTTTTGATTAATAAATAGTTCCTCTACAGTATTTCTATCTCTTTCATGCAAGCCCGCATGGTGTATGCCGATTCCGAAAGCCAGTGTTAACTTCAAGTTGGATTCTTTTATGTTGGCTAATATTTGTTCCATTTCAGATTCTTGCATGTGTAACCACTGCTTTGGATTATCTTCCGCGGCTAAGTAAGCAATCAGATCTAATGCTGTTAACCTAGAATTACGGAGAAAAAGTTGTTTGATCAGTAATACTTTAGACCATGCTCTATAAGATAAATCCTTTTGCCTTGTCACATTAAAATAAAAAAGGCAAATTTTTAGAAATATTGAAATTGTCCAGTAGTTTCATAGCCTAATCGATGTAAACAATGAAATCTTTCCTCTTTATAATATTAGTATAAACTATGACAATGCATTGATTTATAAAAATAATTTCGTTCTTTTTTGCATACCTTACATACTGAAGTTGAAGCGCAATGTGAACCTAGATGGCCGTTTGACAGCCCTATTCTTATTTGGTTCGCTTAGTAAGTTTATAATTTACCTGGTTTGTCGTCTACTGGACACGAACACTAGTGTGGGCGCACACGGCGAATGCGTCCGTATAGCTTGGAACGTTGGCTTATTCATGGTCATCATACGTGGACAGTAGTGACGGCCAGGGTGACCGGATATGTGGACCTTATCGGGTAAGATACATTTGAATCTCCGCATACGAAGTACACGAATCGTCAGTATTATAATGTCACAAATAGCGCTTGAGTAGCTCGGCGCGGCCCGCGATAGTTGTTGTTAAGCAACTTTCGCAAGGGTCGGCCACGGGATGGGTGACTAAAAATTATTTTCTCGAGCTACTCCGTGCTTCGGATGGCACGATATACCGTTGGTTCCGGCTGCATTTTCAGTCGTTAATACCCTGCAATATGCTGAGCCCCTACAGTAAGGACGTGAAAGGGCTGAAGATGAAATATTGCTAATCTACTTTTAAGATTGCATCCTATAATTGTGTACCTGTTATTAATTCGCAAGCATAGGGGCATACAAATGACGCCTCGATATATTACCCGACTAGAAACGTGATCTATAGAAGCAAAGGTGTGGATTCCATATTTAGTTGTTTTCACGTTTACCGCGATCTTTCCTCTCTTTTTAACCTCGTTATCTTTATATTTACAGGAAGCCATATTAGTCATTCCTTTTAATATGATAACTATGATTGTGAAGTATAAAGAAAATTTCCTTTGGCTTAATTGACCTGCTATAAGCCTTATATAAGCATGATTGACACATCTCTTTACAAAGTGTTTAGAAAAAATAGGACCGCTTTACACTTTGACGACTATTTAAAATATGAAGGTATTTTAGACACTATTCTTGTTTATAGTACGAATAGTCAAGAAATGAGAATTAAAAAAATAATTTAAAAGTAAAATAATATGTGTGAATAGGGCTTTTGACAATTTGAAACTTGAAACTTACCTCTAAAGGCACGGGTCGAACCGAAGGCCTAAAGTTGTATAGACCCATTTCCCCAATATTGAGCCAGTTAGCGAGATCTTTTGCGTTCGCCAACGCTGTAGACAGACCGATGATGCGTAAGCGTCTCGATGTGTGAGATTCTATGAAGTTCGTTCTATAATCCGACACAAAACAAACTATAATACACCATATTATATCTACATAGTTAATAATTGTATCATGAAGAGATTTATAAAACCTCCAATTGTTTCGAGCAAAATTTGGTCCTTTTTTAAATTGTATTAGTAACTTTGAGTGTATTGAAAAATCGACTCATTCGTAAATAATGTATCTACAACAATTAAAAATATCTAATATTCATTTGCGTTCACAAGACGTTGAGTAATAAAAATTTACATCTCTTTATCAATTTTACACCTTCATTTATTTAATATAAAGTCCAAAATTGCAGACTTTGAAATGTTTTGTAGTAACACGATGTGCTATAAATTTTATTGTACAAAGTATACTTTAATAGTTTCTAATAAAAGTTTTCTACTAAATCGATAGTAGCTCGGTGGTGTAGAGGATAAGCGCTTTGGCCCGCGATCGTTGTTGTTAAGCAACTTTCGCAAGGGTCGGTCACTGAATGGGTGACCAAAAAATTATTATCTCGAGCTACTTCATGCTTCGGAAGGCACGTTAAGCCGTTGGTCCCGGCTGCATCGGCAGTCGTTAATACCCTCCAATCCGCATTGGGCCAGCGTGGAGGGTCATGGCCTCCTTAACCATCCACAAGGAAAGCCTGAGCCCCTGTAGTGGGGACGTAAAATGGCTGATGATAATGATAATGACTAAATCGATCTTGAACAATGAGCCTTATTCTATTGAGATAAAGCTTACTTTCACTAACCTAGACACGATGACTTCCAACACAGGTCCTCTATCTTCACCCAATAAGTGAATTTCGTCAATAACTATTAATGCTACGTCTCTGACGTAGTTTCTTGTTTGCCACGATCTACTTATTCCGTCCCATTTCTCTGGCGTTGTCACTATGACGTGGGAACTTTTGATTGAACGAATGTCAGGTGATACATCCCCTAAAAGGAAACATTTTTAGCGGGAAAGTACGATTAAATATATCACATTTATAGCTCTAGAGATAGAGACAGAGAAATTGATTATTTATAGAGAAATATATGTTAACACAATTAACTAACCTGTTAATTCAACAACATTCTTCCCTAATTTCTCTTGCAATCTCACTTTCCAGTCTTTTATGCGTTCTTTGACCAACGCTTTCAATGGTGCTATGTAAACAACCTAAAAGAGATAACATATTCCCATGAGACAGTTCCAAAAACTGACATTCGTATTGAACTTTATTTCATTAAAATAAAAGCCAATAGCATATTGATGAGTTTCATGATAGTCTTTTTATTTAAATGAAGTGTGGGAAATTTTAATGTAAATTTTATTAATTTCTTAATGTCTAATGAATCATTGCCATATATAATAAATTTTCTTTTTATTACCTTACAGTTAGGGTATTGGTTAAATACTCTAAACATGGCAACTTCAGCGACAATAGTCTTGCCAGAACCGGTTGGCGCTCCCAATAACACATTGTGGTCTGTGTGATACAGACAATGGAATATCTGTGTTTGTATAGGATTGAAATGTGTAAAGTTGTATAGAAGTTCATACGAAGGATTGTTCAGGGCTGTCACTGGTAACGGTTGGAGTTCTAGTAAATCTGTAAGAAAAATATTTGTATAATATAATATAAAAAACATAGTCATAATATATAACGCTTTGTTGATTAGTAGGGGGTGACTACGTTACACTATATAGAAAATTTAAAAAGTTGTGACGTCATGTGACCTTTCAAATCGATGCATCCCAATCATTTATTGATTACACAAAAAATACGTGTTTGATAGTTTGTGATAATCTACCTGACATACATCCCTATCATACATAAAAATATCGTGAATGGGTACACTACAATAGTTTTACACAACAATTCATTTGGCGTCTATTTCATTCAATTTTATAACAGAAGTAAGATATTCTTCTACGATGCCTTATGGCAGCCGAGATGTAGTCTTTTACTATTTGTCAAGAATTTTTAAGACATTACCTTTTTTGTCAAAAAATACCGGCACACGTAATTGTTTTGGGTAAAGATTTTTTTCACATCACTAAATAAACGTTGTATTGATCTTTGTCACAAGTCCTGTAAACGGTGACAAGTTGTCAGCCTGTCGCTTACATACAGAGCAATATCAAAACAGTACCTACAATTGGCTTTTACGACTTTCGTAAGACTAGAATCAGTTAAGATATTTTGTTTTTATTTCGGACCATAACAGCCATCACTATAAAGAACATTTAAATCTCACCCGTGTGTGGAGGGTGTGTTTCCGGTAGAATGAGATGTTGGAATGTAAGTGGCAAAACACTCTCTGCGCCTAGCCATCTGTAAAGAAAGGAGATTATTTTTCTTTTAATATAATAAAATAACATTTGTTTGTAATCAGCAACGGTAGAAATAGGTAATACAAATTTGAATCAAATATTATTTCAACGTTATATTAGAGTGGATACGCCTTTGGATTACGGAATGTTCTATTCACAGGTATCAAAGGTATTTCAGCTACCCGCCCTACGATTATGTAAAAGTCCAAACCCGAATTCGAATTCAGTCTGGAGTCCACTTCAAAAAGCGGCAACCTCTCAACCTTGAATTGGTAATAACATTTCGTGGCAGTGAAATGAGTTTCGAAATGACAAATAAATATAATATCTGAGACATGTATATTCAATTAATTTTGTTTTGTATTTTTATACAATGGAACCAATACAATTTCAACACTAAATGACGTGAATTCGAATTCGGATCTGGATTTTTACATAATCGCAGGGCAGAACTGGTAGAACTCGATGGCGCAGTGGTAAGAGCGTTCGTATTACGATATTCGAGATGATTGAAACTTGCCGTGATTAAAAAATCCGAGTTTAACATGTAATATCACGAAATCGTGGATAATTATAAATAGTGGTAAGTAACCAATATTAAATTCGATTTATATTATACCTTTCCGATGTTGCCCTTATGTAGTATTGGGGTGGTAGCGGCTCAGATATTGGTATTGTTATTAATAGCTCTTGAGGTTCTTGTGACATAACCTGGAAGCATTTCGATATATACGAGTAAGTTTATTAAAATATGTATTGTCTTGAATATAAATAAATAAATTTATTGGTGAATAAAGATAAAAAACATATTATTAGTTATTATGCCAAAATACGCTGTTCAATTCAAATAAAAAACTGCATAGCTAATAAAATATTTCAATCATTGAACTGAGAAATGGATCGTTTCAAATCTCGAAGAGAATAGAAAAACTTATGACGTCATAAAATAGCGAATCGTAGAGCAAGCGTAGAGCGAAAGCAAAGACAAACGCCCACTACGAAACATTATTTGAATAAAAAATTAACCTGTTTCTTGGTAATGAGGAAGTACTCGTGATAGTACATTATATCTGTATCCGGATCCTCCACCCATATCCAGAATGCCTCGGGCGCTTTGCCGTGATATTTGTCGTTCCATCTAGAAAAACATGGATGTATTTGCATATCAACTTAATCAATTTGTTGACTAAGTCTTAAGCTTATTCCCGCAGAAACTAGGGCTAATTTATTGACACATCATACTGATAATAAAAATTATATGTTGTGTAATAACTCGTTATTGCTATCGAGTAAAAGCTCGTTAAAACATTAAGAACTATTCATTAACTACATTACACAAATATCTTGTAATAGCTAATCTAAAAAAAATCTATTATATACTGTTCTGTCATACTCCTTGCTCAGATCACATACATTTCTAAGATTTAAGTAACTAAACAATTCAGATTCATTCAAATAAACAAAACAGTGGAAATATGGAAAAACGAAGGTGACATGTGAGCATAAACTCAGTACTATATAACAGGACTTACAACTCCACAACATTGTAATTAGAAAAATGAACCTTATCACTGTCAATTAAAGAATACTTTTCATTGCTCTTTGTACAGAAGCTAATCCGAGCCGAGAGAGATAGTCACAAAGAAACACGGCCATTATAAAAAAAAATAATTGTAAATTAAAATTTTAAACTAAAATAACCTCAGTGGAAACATTTGCATTTTAATGGTAACTATTTTAACGTCATTATAGCAACATTGTAAATCTAACAACTACGTTTTTAATTATATAAAAAATAAAAAATATATATTTTTGAATTAACATCAAATCATTACGAACTTCGAACTTAGAAACTTAATAAAACATTTTTTGTAATGTTATGATTATTTGTTTAGTATTTAATTTCTAAAGAAATTTATTAGAACATTGTACTGCATCGCATTTTTATTAACGTAATAAATGAATAATCGTTTATTTATATCACAGCAAATTATTTCCCACAAACTAGGAATTAACTAAAATATGTAAACAAAATTTTCTGTTATAAGTCCCGTGATTTGCTAATGTGCTGGAACCTTGTTACAATAACAGCCGCGTGAGGTCATTTGAAAATAGAAAGAATAGACAGCAAAAAAAAAAAAAATATCTGATCAGTCATTAGTGCAGTCACCGCAGCAGATTTGTGATCGATATTGACAGATTGTGAGTAAACAAACACTTGCGAATCTCTATACATTTTATTCACGATTCGTGCCTTTAGAAATATACACATTATATATATATTTATTGCATCAAATTTTTCATCAAATATTTTTAAGATTATTGTGTATGGTGACAGCTGCGTTATTTAAAATACTGAACCATATGAAAAGTCTCACTCAACGAAGATGTTATTGTCACCTTATTTGAAAGAGACAAATAGCCTCTGTACTTTATATCTTGCTCGGCTCGATTTCAGCTGGGAATGCTCTGTCCTGTTATATAGCTCTACGTTCATGCATGTGAACCACTCGGCCATGCACAGTGATCAAGAAAAAACACTGACTTGAAATTAGGTATGATAGTGAGCCTTATCCGCAGCACTGTCCTCGTTATTGGATGCAGACTCGCCTCCATCTCGAGCAATGGAAATTCATCAGCGCATTTCTTGAGGTGTCTTGCAGTTTTAGGATTTCTAATGAGGTCACCTAATAGTAGATAAATAGAAGTAAATATTGAGAAAATATCGAGGTACGCCTGCATTGGTTGTCAAGAATATGTTGATAATGAAAAAAGTCCAAATAAGTTACTTTAATAAGAAATCAAAGACCATTTCTTAGAGTATTTTGGAAAAATTTTGAAGTGTACTGTTTCCCTAAAAAAATAAACACGTAAATTTAAAGTATATAGCTGCTTTATGCAACTAATTAGTGATATTTGAGTTTAAGTCAATCGTTCGAGTGCTAGGGAATTTTCAGATCCCCATTAATATATTTACTGGTACCAAGTGATCCGCAATCTACATGCTAGGAAATAACCCCCATTTTAACTCATTACGTAAAAATACCGTGACAACTATATGACATATAATTACACTATTTATATTATTTTCGTAAACTATTTTTGTTAATTTGATATTAGTGATTTAGCTAAATCTTCCTTTTGAATAAAAGATTCACACACTTACCCACTTCCTTCCAGTCCATATCACGTATCTGATCAGGCTTAAGCATAGGGTATTCAATATGCTTGAGCACCTCATTTGGGAAACAGTTGAACTGTCTCATGTCGCTGTAGAAATCCCATTGTTGTAGCTCTAACATTTTTGCCATTTTCAAATATAACGCAGCCATGTACGCGTTGTTTTTGCGTAGTGTTATTTCGAACAGCGCGCGAACTATTCGAACGGCGTTCTGAAATATGTCGCATTGGATTGTTTGGTTGGACTGTATTGTTAAATCAGACTGTGGTTGTACTGTACTGTTAGGAGGACGGTATTGTTTGGTCGGATTTATATTTTTAGGTTAGACCGTACTTACAGGGGCAGGGTTGCATCTTCCGATGCATGTAAAGTTATTAATTATTGAAGGTAGTTCAAGTTAAAACCAATAATTCTATTTTCGATTGTTACCACGAAAATTTTGCTTAATTTCAACCGTTATTTTACGAAATATTAATTGAAAATATTTAATATATAATCATGTCAAACAAAGAAATGCTTGTGAAACTATGAAAAATCATACAAGTCAGCATGACCTTGATTATGTTTAGAAAACATTCCACTGTTTACTCTAAAATTTGAAAGAAAATGTATATTTTTTTTAAACAGATTGGGTTGCTATTACAACTTTACATAATTTGCATTTAGTAACAGAGGACAGCTAAATATTAGCTTCTAAAACAAATAAAACTGCTCTAAACTTTATACAGTCGGACGGTTATTACCTGACTTATATAGTTTAAATCGGACTGTAACGAGGAACCGTTCACTCTCCCTCGAGATAGATAAGTCTGAAGTAATATGTTTATCTTCCAATGTATGTCTTCTGGTGGGTCTTCGATGCGCAATTCGCAATACTGGTCTTTCAGATTCCACAACTCGGTCAACTCTTCTTTTCTAACCTGTCGAATTAATATATAGTTTAAAATATAAATATCATTTTTGCTTTGAGTTTGCTAAAACAAAATAGTGTTTCCTTTCCCACTAATATTAAAATGCGAAAGTTTGAGGATAAGGACAAACAAACATTCATGTTTGTTACTTTTTGATACAAAAACTACTAAACAGATTTTAATGTAATGTCGTATATACAGACTATTCTAAAATAATATAGGCTATTTTTTATCCCACTAAACGGTTCCCTAGTCTAGGAATGCTAGATTCCACAGAAATTAATTTCTTTTAGAATTTGCATTACGTTCATATGCTTTTAAGCTAAAGATTTTTTGGTCTTGCAATTTTATGTTATTGTTGTTTCGCGTTTTTACTACACAATAATGCTTTAAAAAATTTCTTTAAATGAAATTGGTTATGTAAAAGACAATTATATTGCATCGTAAGCTGTAATAATGTTAAAAACCTTTCATATAGCTTTGATAAATATGTAACTTTTGTGTATTTTATGGAAGAAATGAAATATAAATAAATAAAATAAAAATAAAAAAGTAAACTTCGCACACCTAGATCTAAACTAAGACAACTCAAAAAACTAATGTGGAGGTCTGACAATACATTTGTTTACGTGGCAGGAGCGCGACCACTGTTGATTCGACAAAAGAAAGCTGAAGTTATCTAGCGGCTTATCCCCGAACCTTTATTGAATCTGTTATGTTGGATAGATGCGTATGATCACCGAGAATTTGAATATTGTAAATTTTTGAGTTGTCTCAGTTTAGATCTAGGTGTGCGACTTATTATGTTTACGAAATACCTTAAGCTGTTGAAAGTCTGAACATCTCGTGAGCATCTCCAGTACGTATGCTTGGGTCATTGACTTTCTGACCATAGAGTTGAATACCTCCATTGTTTCACAAGTTATATAGTAATGGCTTGCCGTGCGACCAAGATCTAAAGACAGAGGTTTATTTACATTATGGATAAGAGAACTTAATAAACCACTACTACTTTTGATTTTTGAGATTTTTTTTTGTCTTTCACTAAAATCAACAGCGCGGCAGCTCTCAATTTTCTCCGATTTAATTCAACGCTTATTCTGTTGGCAATTAAGTTCGAAATCGATTGACATTGAGTGGAAAACTTTTTTGCTGAATGTACAAACTAAGACGTTACTGCATCACGGGTAAATGAAATAATAAATAAATATTTAAAAAAAAGTTGGCGCCGTACTTAGCTTTTGTACATTTTGTAACTTATAAAATGACAACCTAATAATATAATGGCACAGGACCGCTCGCATTACTACAGACCCGTGACTGACGAGACGGTAGTATCCTATTTAGTTACATTTACAAAATTAACAAACATAGTTTCTACAACTTCAGTTATACCTGACGAGACAAAACTCACCACGCGCTTATTTAGATAAGTACATGTCAGGGGAAATATTGATACATGCAGATACATGTCAGACCAGCCCTGCGATTCTGTAACAATCCAGACCCGAATTCGAATTCACTCAATTCTAGTCATTTAGTAAAGAAATCCTATTGATTCCATTTTTTGTATAAAAATACTAAACAAAATTGACTGATTAAACGTGTCATAGATATTTTAATCCTATATCATTTCGAAACTCACTTCACTTATTTCACGAAACATTATTACCAATTCAAGTTTGAGCGGATGCCGTTTTTTGAAGTGAATTCGGACACCCAGGTGATTTCGAAATCGGGTTTGAAGTTTTACAGAATCGCAGGGCAGTAATTTAGAAACATGTCAATGGAAATATTGATTAACGAATAACGACCCTACTGCTTATGAAATAAAGTTGTTGAGAGGCAAGAGTGTCTTATACCTTTCCCAGGACTTAAATATATTAATATGATAATTCTCACCAGTTATATTCAAGTCTCCAGTCCGTTCGTTGTAGCGTATCATATGTGTTCTGTCCAACTGCATTGCCGCCGCCGTGATCAGCTCACGGCGTTTCGTCTCAAGCATCGGCTCTTCTTGTACATCAGTGTAGGTAAGTCCATATACCTACATAGTATAACAGTTAGGTATGAATATAAAACACTTAATTTTGAAGAACATTTGTGGAAGAAAAAAAAAATAATTATTATAATTATTACTTATTATTTCATAAATATTTCTATTGTCTGCAAAACGTGGTTCCGTCAAGGTGAAGGTCGACAATAAATCATTATACAATATATATAAAACTATCAAAACATGTCGGTTTAGCTTAATGTAATAAAATGGCCAGACAATTACTATTTGCTTCACACAATTACAAGAGGGCACTGCAATGTATGAAGTCTGCATCGAGTTTACAAAGTTTCTACGACAACTAAACATACATATACATTTTTATATAAGATAAATATGAATATAGAAATAATAGCATGTCAATATTTTATTCTCAATGGAAAATGCTTAAAAAATCGACTTTGTCTCTGGCACTCTGAGATGGGCTCGAACCCATGACATTTCACAATCCGGGCGACTGCTCTAACCACTGAGCTACCCAAGACCTAACAGGACTGACGAATCTTTCAAGCACTTGTTACTTTTTCACTACTACAGAGCGTATTTTATAAATTGTTAGGTAATCCACCCAAAATGCCGAAAGAAATATTTTTGTAAATATTTAAAATCTCGATAAAAACGAAAATTTGTTCTTATTATTAGATGTTATCAATTTTATATTTTATCAGCATTGTGAATTCAAAATTAATAAAATATATATATAATAAGGTCAATATTTTGTTTATATGACATTCAGAACCTAAATATATTTTAAAACTTATTGCCTGTACATCATTGGCTCCTTGGCTTGGTTTGTTATAGCTGTCTTAATGGATATATAGAATATGATGATTATGACGTGCTAAAGGATGAGGGTCCACGAGTGGCTTTTCTAGCCTTGAATGGTGTCTGAAGGTTATTTAAATTTCAGGTTAATTTTATCTTTGTATTCAAATACAAAATTTTCACAAATGCGATGAACCTGAAGTTTAAGTAATTTTCAGATTACTGCTACAGGTAGCATGTAATTTCAATAATTGCAACAATTTTTATTATATTGTATAGATAGATATTGAAAAGATATAATTATCACCTGTGGATTGATCCTCATTCTGACGAAGAGATATGTGTAACTCAGCCATTCTACTGCCTCATCTATGTTTGTGACTGTACCTAGACCCACCTGGAAAATAAATGTGTGAACTTTCAATTATGATCCTATCGCTTATGCAAAAGAGCAACGACCTAAAAAAAAATTAAGTTCACTTTTGGATAATTTCGACTTTGGTTATTGGAAGTACAATTTTGTCATCTAAAAATAATCTTGGAACGTCATATATCTGATGGAAATGTGTTGCGTCTCGTCGGACGTAGAAAGTTAAAACTGATAAACATTTATTAAAAAAAAAAATTGAACCTTGCACTCTCGACGGATGTTGTGTCATGAACTAATTCATGCTTCCCTGAGACGCTAGACGGATATACCGTCAGAGTTGCAAGAAACTATATTCGTGATTATAACACTTACACTTCATAATTATAAGCAATTCGTATATAACATGCTATCATTCTTAAATGTCAATATTTTTTTTTAATTTAATTAACACTTTAAAAACATCTTAATTTATTCAATAAAACAAAAACATTTAAATAATTGCCTTTTACTTACCTCAGCATTCAAATTATCCGCCAGAAGATTAATAAAATTACTCTCTATTGGGAACTGATTGGTCATACTCTTCAAGTAATGTGTTAGTTTGTCGTGTGTAGTTATAATAATACCAGTACCGCTACTATCGAACTGCGGACGGCCAGCGCGACCGAATATTTGTAGCACGTCCAAAATACTCAGGTCGACGAATGTGCCGTGACTTTGATCGTAGATTTCTGTACCCTATGTACGAGATGATAAGGTTGATTTTAGGTGAAGTTGGTATAAAAAGAGGAAGACACAATGAAACAATATTAAAGAGACAGTTAAACTCAATAAAACGCACATAGAAAGAATAACGTGGATAAGACATTTTTCTGAAAAGCATTCTTCTAAATTTATTCATACAATAACTTACCCTAATTACAACGGCGTGGGCTGGCAAGTTTACACCCCAGGCTAAGGTAGATGTGCAAACCAGGACCTTTATATAACCTTCGGCAAAGTATTTTTCAACCATATTCCTGTGTACATAGAGTTTATATTAGTTTTATTACTAGATAATAAATCTCACAATCACCTTACAATTTCGGTTATTAATAAAATAAAGTCCTATTCAAGTACTTATACTAGCTTATCCTAAGAAACTTAATCTACATTGTAAAATGTTTTCAAAAACTTAGAATAAAACGAAATAAAATGCAAATGAAATAAAATATTCATCATAAATAACGAAGGCACTACAATAAAATAGGTCCGCCAAAGAATTCAACTGAATCAAGAATTGAAGAGTTACTTTCTCCTAAAATTTTAATCTTGGGTACTCTCACCTATCGCTTCTCAACATTCCAGCATGATGGCAAGCGAAACCAGACGCGAACAATTCGCTCAACTGCTTATTAGGACTGCTGCCTATCGCCTTTTTAGCTTTCAAGAAACCTCCCGAGTCTTCTGGTTCGAAGTGTTTTAAGTGCCCTTTCTTTTGAGCTATCTCTTTGAGAACCATCGCTGTTTGGTGCGTTGCGTTACGAGCGTGTACAAACACCATTACTTGGTGCCCTTTTTGAACCATATCTATGGCTTTATCATAGCATATCTCGTTCATTGTTTGCATCTAACGAAATAAACCTCTGTTATAATTTTTTCAAATATGATTATTATCCTCTAATTCCATGTAGATTGAGAAGAGCATTAAAAACACTATATATATATAAGAAATAATTTAGAGATGTTCCAAGTATTCGGTTGGTTTAATAGATTTAAGTATGTAAGGTCCATAGCACACGGCGTATTTTATATGCCCAGGCGACGCGCAAATGACGCGCGTATACGCGCTTCATACGAGCTGTAGTCGCTCGTAGCCTTTGCGTTTTGATCAGAGACTCCTCTCTCCAGTTGTACAATGGCGTCCGTTGATACAACACTGCTTACGCTGGCTTTAGTACTTCTTTTAAAAAGAAAAAACATAAAAAAATCCCCCCTCTGTCTCTACTCCGTTCATTTGTACGCGCGCATACGCGCTTCTACTGCGCGTATACGTGCTTCATACGCGCGCTTGTATCATCAATGAAAACGCAATAATCGGAGTCTACGGCGCCGATAACGCGCGTTCCTAAAACGCGCTTCGCCTGCGAGCATAAAATACGCCGTGTGCTATGGGCCTAAGGGCAAAAACCGGTTTAATAAGCTTCTTGATCGGATTAACGATCAATTAGTTACGCTCAATTTATGCAAATACTAGAAATTGTAATCGAATTATTTCTACGAGTAAATTTGCATATTCAATAAATCACGTACGGGGGCCCATTTCGAAAATTTTGATTATTCTTTTTTAATTATTTCTTTTTATTAAATACCTATGTCATAGTTGTTAACTGCAATGTTATCTAATTAATGATTACTATGTCATTGATGATCGACTATATGATATGAATACATGTAAGGCTGAATGTTACAGTATTCCATTTTTTCCATTGATTAAATGATGGATATTATCAATTTTTTACGGCTTAAATATAAATGGCATGGGTAATTTAATTTTACCTGTCTCAGATGGGATCCTCCACCACCACCAACTTCTTTCACGCCAATGAACTGTTGTTCGAGAGGAACAGGACGAAATCTCGAGTCGAAGAAAAACAGACCGATATTTGGATTCACTCGTAAGAATCTGTGCGAAAATACATATATTTATCAGAATACCATCTGATATTTCTGTACAACAAGTTTTTGATAAACATATCGAATATGTACAAATGTTTCACTTCCATCGTCATCATAGGCGGGGAGGATAGTTGAATTTTACAATTTTGACCATGTCCGATAAGAAGTTGTTGAATCACAACTGACCACTCAACACATGTCTTAATTATGTAATATACTTTTATCAAATCATTAATGCACCTATCGCAAAGTTGATTACATTATGGTTTACCTGGCAACATCTAGATAGTTGGGAAGCGTAGCTGACAACCCTACGATCCTGATCATGTTTTGCGTTGATTCAACTTGTCTCAGCGTTCTAGCTACTATTGCCTCGACTATGGGCCCTCTATCTCCATGCAGTAGATGAACTTCGTCTATAATGAGCAATTTCACTATTGACGCTAGTTCAGTGTCCGCTGAAAGAAAAATGAAAAAGTCAGGTCCTGTGTTAAACTGTAGCTTATATACTTTTTAGACTAAAAAAAATTTCGTAAGATAAAATATAATAGGCGGAAACATTAAATAACCCATTAATTATTCATATTTCATACAAAAGTTTGCTTAGCTAATAGTTATTTTTTTTTACTTACTGGCTCCCTTTCTTGTAACCACATCCCATTTTTCCGGAGTAGTAACTATCATTTGGGTTTGTTGCACCTCGCTTTTTGTCAATTTCATATCCCCAGTTAATTCTCGCACTGTTATTCCGAGACCACGGAGTCGTTTTCCGAAACTTGCTGTCATTTCAGAAGCTAACGCTTTCATTGGTGCTATATAGATGATCTAAATAAAATGTATTCTATTTTGATCAATAAAAGCGATACCAGCACCACAAATATAGTAAAAATACTAATATAAAAATGTATGACTATTTATAAAAATCCAGCTCGAAGGATCATTTTTATAAATACACCAATATCAAATGCATTTGTTTACAGTGTTATCATAAGATTTCCACGGAATTGAAAGAACTTCAAATGCTTTATATGGAACTTTTTGATTGAATAAAAAATAAAACTTTTTAGTTGTTTGTAGAACTGAGAGACTTCCCAAAATGGGTAGAATATGACATTTTAGTACTAACCTTGAATTTATTTTTCATAATAACGTTATTCTCAATATGTTGTTTGATTTGATGTACAACTGTCAGCAACGCAATGTTTGTCTTGCCAGCTCCAGTAGGTGCACATATCAAGAGGTTTTCATTAGTGTTGTACGCTGTTTGGAATACTACTGATTGTATTCGGTTCAATTCTTTTATATTTTCAAACGCCATTTGGCCGATCTGGGAATATAAATTATTTAAGAACATAAATTGGTTAGTTGGAAGGAATATTGCTATATAAGTAAACTATGGACTTTTTATGCTTAGGTTCGCAAGTGAGTTGAAATAATTTTTTATCACAACTCAGTCTATATACAAAATATCTATATACAAAACAATAGAATAGGGACTCTGTGCGTCGGGTATATAATTGGAGAATATTTAACATGTGTTTATTTATTTTTTGCATATTCAATAAATTACGGCAATACATAGATTTGAAATGTACATGACGTCATCATCGTAGATTTTTACAGAGTTGTGAAGTTGCAAGCTTAATTATAATTATCTAAGCCATTTCTTGTAAAATTGAAGCAAAAAAATATGTATCTAATATTTTTCTATTTGCTGGCCGACGGACAAAATATATATTTTTAACCCAGGCATCATCCCTATTCACAACCTTTCGTAAGTCACTCGTTCCATTGGTGTAAACTGCATAAAAATTAGACAGCTTTTGTGTTTCACATTTAGACAAATTTAGAGTATAATATTTGTTCCTCCTTCTTGAACAATTACTTACTTCATCCATATCTGATATTGGAACTCTTTTATTTCCAATTTCGAGGGGTGCAGGATCGTTTTTGGGAATAATTACTTCTTCGTATTCTTTATTGTCTTTTCTTATAGCACTTTCTGGCAGTATTAATTTTAATCCCGATACGAAACCTGATAATTGAAATATACTGTCAAAATGTTCCATAAATAAATTCAATGAAAATTTGACTATGAAAAATATATTACTATAACTTACCAGCAGAATTTTTAGCATTTATTGAAGAGTCATAAACATTAGGATACTGGACTTTAGTTTGAAAGTATGATATCTTTTGGAGAATGGGATCAGTGTTGTTTGTAGATTTTGAAGTAGAAAATGGTACTACAGGTTTTGATAGTTCTGCTATCCTGAAAAATTTGATGAGTTCATACTTTTTACATACATAGTTTTAAATACAAAATAAATGTTAGTTATAAATAACATGGTAAACAATAAAGCAAAGTAATTGTTACCTTTTCGACCTTAATTGTGCAATATTAATTTCTTGGTCATCTTCATCACCTTCATTCTTCTTCACTTGTTTTGCCTTTTTCTCTTCTTTCCTAACCAGTTTTGCTAGCATTTTCTCCTGTTCAGAGAGAACCGATACTTGACAGAGATACTGTGGCATTTTGTTTTCTGGTAACATTGCTGCAACTGTTTCCATAAAGTGATTTTTAACAAAACTCAAGAAAAAGTATTCCTTTTATAATATCTACTTTCATTCTAAAAGATCTAACAAGCTAATATATATACCCCAATCTTTAAGTAGTAAACTATATAAACGAATAATGACGTGATATATTTAGGGACTGGTTAATTAAAATCTAGATTTAAATAATTTCACTCACTTTCTGAGATTGTAGGTTGTATTGGTGCCATCAAACTCTCTGTGATATTTTGTCTATGTTCGAGAATCTCTTGAATGAATTCGAATTTATCAAATCCTAGTAGTTCAAACAGATCATTTTGCATTTCATCATTACTTCGAGTGGAGTTGAGAAATGTAATGACTGATTGTAGAATGTCTGCACTTGAAATACTACTGTTGACATACTGTTCTTTAACTTTAGATTCAAGCCAAGTTTTATCATACTGTGAATGAAAAAAAGATCTGATTTTACATATTATTGGATAATCCTACATCATAAAAAATGCTAATGAAAATGGGTGTTTTTACTCTTTCACACCAAACTGCTGAACTGATTTTGATGAAATTTGGTATACAGATAATTCTGAGCCTAAATTAACATATACTCTTTATCCCATTAAAAGATTAGCTAGAGGTAAATCTACTGACAAGTAATTGTGTAAATGAGATGGGCAACATTTCTGGCGGAAAGCTAGTTTAGATAATGTCAAGTTTGAAAAGTAGGGTAAAATTTTCTATTTACCTTAGAACCCACACGAGTGTGCGTTTTTTTTATAATGCCATTCTCTTTCTTTTCATTTGTATATTTCATTGAGAAATCAGTTACAAATGCACTTTCCGTTGCAGATTTGCTAGTCAGCTTCGCTAGGGGTTTTTTCATTCTTTGATAAGGGATATAATTGCACTGGATATTCTCACCCCATAATTTTATATTGTCTTCAATTTCTTCATGCTTTTCCTTTTTTATAAACTCTTTTGATTCTTCAGACAGAACTTCCGAGAGCATTGTGACAATCTAAAATTTAATGCTTCAGGTTGGAGCACCATCATCAAATGAGGTTCACAATGTGCAAGATATATAAATGGTGTAACATTAGGAAGTAATTTTAAATGTTAATATATAAGACAACATCACATTCATTGTTCAAATCCCCTAATTAATTAGCTAAAGCACTTGAATAATGGAAATCTGAAACAATTAAGGTACCATGTCACCCAGACTAGAGACAATATAGAAAAGTTTGTCTTCTACATCGTCCAGACCGGGAATCAGACCCATAAACATAAGAAGGTGACACTTTGAAACTGCTGGTGTGCAAGCAACTCGGGCCATAGAGGTATATTCCGAATAAGGAAACTAAATTATATGTCACCACCAAGTTTAGATTGATTGAAATCCCCATTAAATTAAATACTACTTTGAATATAATTTCTTTTTACCTGACAGATTTTATTAGCAACTGCTGATGTGACATTTCCAAAAGTTTGTCGTAACTGATTCAAATGTTTTAGCATCACAATATCCTGTTCCAGGAACATTCTTAGCACCATCACCGCTGCATCTTGAAGGAATTCATCTGACTCATCACCAGTGAGTTGTTTACAAGATTCTTTGAGAAGCTCAAGCGTTTTAATCTTTTGCTCCGGATCAGGTTCATTATGTTTGATGTAGTTGTAAATATCTATATAGGATTTGAATCTAAAAACAATAAAATCTTATTAAATTTAAAATGCATAGGCAGGATGACTCATTTTTTTCTCTGTCTGTCACTTTATTCCCTACATTGATCCCACTGAGAATCGAACCAGACCAGACCTCAGAGATGACGACACCTAGATACATCTAGAACCACTTGGTTATGGGAGTTATCCTTACAAACTTTACAAATTAATTAAGTAAGTGAGTTCATTCAAAAATATTTGTCAGTTTTGCATTTCATTAAAGTCAAATCATATTTTTCCTATTTTGTGAATAAGTTGAAAAAATTCAATTGGAATCTGTGTTATGCAAATTTTAAGTTCCTATGAATACCTAACTTCTAGAACTATCCATTCATGGCTTTAAAGAATTGTAGGTATAAAAAAGTATGTGATTGAGAAAATAGTTTAAAAGTGGTCTGCAATAATGTGGGGAGCATTTGGATAAACAAAAACAAAGTCTAAAACTTATTGAATTAAGCTTTCTTGAAACATATTGTAGATGGACAAGGGCTATTTTTAAGTGGGTATAAGTAAACAATCTTTAAAACAAAATACCAATATGAAAAGCATAAGCTAAGTAATTGCAATAAAAAAATTATTCATTTAAAAGTAATTAGATATACCTTTGTAAGTTTTTGGGTGTTACAAAATTTGGCGTTGCAGTTTTCAAAGGTTTCAGACAACGGTGTTTATCTAACTGTGTGTGAGCTCTCAGAGCTCTTGTTATACGAGGCAACTCCAACATAGTAAAGCTTATTTATTAATAAATCTGTAAAATCGAAACATACATTACATAATAAAAGTTTAAAATATTTTCATTAGATTTTTATCATCAAAAAATGTCGCGAAATTTTTAAACAAAAAAGCATAAAAAAAGTTGTGAAATAAAACGTTTTTGGAATTATCTACTTACTTACATAGGATCGATTATTAAGGAAGAAATTAGATTAGAATATAAATAATTCAATACTAATTTTAGAGAGATACACGGTTTTTGTATTTCATGAGAATAAATAAAATAAATACACTGACACGTCGTTGAGACTTCGCGAGTCCACTTTTTTGACAATTGTACTCTACAAAGCCGATTTGCGATTGAGGGATTTTTTTTTATCGACAGTAACAGACAGTGACTTTGACAGTGATGACAGCAGTAGCCAACAGCTGATTGACATTAGGGATGGGGTTTTTGTCACTTGATATCACGTTTGATATTGATGTGACTATCGTTATATATACTTTTTATCATTAATAAATCTATGATTTTGATAGCATTTACGGTCAGTTGCACAAATATGCATTAAGAAACATTCATGAATGACAACTTTAAGCTGTAATGAATATTTTAATATGAAAATTTAAATGGATGATGTAGCAATAAACTAATGACTTTTATTGAACGTTTGTACATAACTGGGTGTTACTTATCCTGATTTAAGGTAGAAACACATTTTTGTGTGCGTCGTCTCGTTAGCGATGTTGTAGAATGTGGACTAGCACTCGTATCGTATCTTTTTGTTTAGTCGATATAAGTAATAACTTGACAAAATCGAATAAATTAGGCAGACACTTTTGAATGAAAAATAAACTATTAATAGTTAATCATAATAATAATATTAATATTATAATAATGATATATTCTAGAAGCACAACCCCCGTGTCTAACTATATCTGGGTGTCGACAATTTTTTTTTGTAAATATTAAACATAATTTACATTGTTAAGTCTCAGGTAGTATTTATTTATATAGTCAAATTGGATAGGAGTTTATTGTTAACTTTATTTTTTCCTGACGGTGAAGTCAAACGAGTACTGTCGTCGACTCAGAATATTCAAGCCTGCCAGAATATTCAAGATTCCGAATATTTTGGCAGGTTGGAAGAAAATGAAGAAAAGGATCCTCCTTATCCCTGTATTGTTACCCTTACTGTTTGCTACCGCTGGTATCCTGAAAATGGCGTGGCTGGCTATGATTTTATTGCGGGTCGTAGGCTTGCTTGTCGTCAGGTAGTAAAACTCCGTAGAAGGTGGAAGGATGGAATGTTTTATTTACAAATCTTACAGCTACTTATACTAAAACGTAATATAATATTAACCAATTAAAATTATAAATACAAACTTAACCAATGAGAAATGTACATTTTAAACCAATTACAAGAAAGCTACAATATTTACAATGGAAGGGGAAAGTGACGAGAGGAAAGGGAAAGGGACTGAGACGCGGGACGAGGGATCGTGTGACGTGGCGTATAAAGGCTGGCATAGAGTTAACGAGATCCTTTTTGCCAGGCGTCGGGTGAGCGTGCGGGTGACTGCGTTGCGGAAGGTTGACATGTGGCGCGCAGCTGTTGACACGCACTTGTTGCGTTGCTTTCTCCTTTGTTTCATACGGACAGTGACGTTGAAATAGTTCTTTTAAGAGCTCCTTATTTCATTGGCGGATATACAAATAAATTTTCCTATAACTGATGTAGTCTTATTACTGTCTTACTGGTGGTGTAGCCACAGTACTCCCCTTCAAGTGAAACGTACCGGCAGCTTGACGACACGGCCAGATCTAGTTCGCTTCTCTGCTGGCTGTGACGTCACGTCGTTGTTTCTTACACTTGAGTCTGGTAAAGGCATTGATGGTAATGTTGTGGTGGTATTCGTGCTTTGATGTGGTAATGTTATGAAGGTATGATTATGGTAACTTAATTCAGGCGTATGTTGGTAATTTGTATCTGATGCATGACTCTCCTCTATGATGTATGCAGGCTTCAATCGGTCGATGGAGATAGCTGCTTGACGATTTGGTAACTGGATCGTAAACACTTTATCTGTGCGCTCCACGACTCGATAAGGACCTTCATATGGTTGTTGAAGTGGTTTTTTTACTGCGTCGACTCTGACAAACACGTGCGTGCATTTTTTTAGATCTTGGTGCACGAACATGTGTTTGTTACTATTGTGATGCGTTGTGGTGGAACGTGGCTTGTTATTGTTTATGTGTTCCCGTAACTTTTCTACGTAAGTATAGTTCATAGCTGTTGAGTTGGTGCAGTTGTTTTGAAAGAAATCGCCAGGTAGCCGTAAGTTATAGCCGTAAGTTAATTCAGCTGCGCTGACGCCGGTGTCGCTCCGTAGAGCGGCTCTTAGTCCAAGTAACACGGTTGGTAGTTCGTCGATCCAAGAACTTGTGTTGCTAAGTTTGGTACGCAGTGCGGTCTTCAGTGTGCGATGCCAGCGTTCGACGATGCCGTTGGATTGCGGATGATATGGTGTTGTACGATTTTTCTTTATTCCCATAATCTTCATTAAGTTGGTAAAAAGAAAGCTTTCGAATTGACGACCTTGGTCGCTGGTTAGTGTCGTTGGACATCCGAAACGCGAAATCCAATGTTTGTAGATAACGTCAGCCACAGTATCAGCTGATATGTTATCGGTAGGTATTGCTTCAGGCCATCGTGTGTGTCGATCGATCATCGTGATGAGGTAACGTTCACCTGTCGCAGTTGTAGGTAGTGGTCCAACAATGTCTACGTGTATGTGTTGGAAGCGGTCGGCTGGCGGGAAGGTTGCTATATTCGAAGTAGTGTGTCGATTAATTTTGCTTTTCTGGCAGTTTATGCAGTTTCTAGCCCATACGCCAATGTCAATATTCATTGACGGCCAGAAATATTTTTTTGTTATAAGTTTGCGAGTTGTGCGGATTCCCGGATGACTAATGTTATGTATGCTGTTAAATATGTCGAGGCGGTATTTTTCGGGTATATATGGACGGGCGTACAACGTTGAAGTCTCGCAATATAAATCGACATCTGTGTTTGGAACGTTCACTTTCTTTAGTAGAATGTTGTCTTGCTTCAATAGGGGTGCAATGGTCGCGTCTTTGTCTTGCGCAGTGGCTAGTTCCGCGTAGTCTATTGTTGTTGGGCAGGCTATTGTTTCTATCCGGCTGAGTGCGTCGGCGACTACGTTTTGTTTACCGCTCACATGGCGTATGTCTGTGGTAAATTCGCTGATAAACAAAAGCTGTCTTGTCCTACGCGGTGTTTCGGATGAGGATTGTGACTTTGCCATGGCGAATGTTAAAGGCTTGTGGTCGGTGAAGATTATTAGGTTCCGTCCTTCGAATGACTTTCTAAAATGCTTCACTGCCATGTATATCGACAGTAACTCTCGGTCGAAAGTTGAATACATTTTTTGTGCCTCTGAGAACTTTTTTGAATAATACCCGAGTGGTTGCCACTTTTTATTTATGTATTGTTGTAGTACGGCTCCTGCGCTATTGTCCGATGCGTCACAGAACAAAGCAAGTGTTGCATAATGAGAGGGATGAGCGAGTAAAGTAGCGTTTATGATGCTGTTTTTACACGCTTCAAATGCTTTTGTTGCCTCATCGTTCCAGTCGATTATTGTTTTGTCCTTTTTTTTTACGTTGTGCAAATACGCGTTTAGAGGGGCTTGAATGGAAGCGGCGCTCGGAATGTGTTCTCGATAAAAGTTTATTATACCGAGAAATCTTCGTAACTCTTCTATTGTTTTCGGTTTTGGATATTCGACGACTGCGGTTACTTTTTCTTGTGGTGGTTTGATGCCATCTTTGGATACTGTGTAACCCAGAAAAATTACTTCTTGTTTACCGAAGTTACATTTTGCCGGATTTATTGTAATTCCATTGTCTTCTAGTCGTTGTAAAACGGTGCGTAGATGTTTCCGATGTTGAATTTCATTCTCTGATGCCAATAGTAAATCGTCGACGAAAGGGAACACGAAGTCTAGACCTCTGAGTACTTCGTGTATGTATCGTTGGAATGTTTGTCCGGCATTCTTTAAACCTGGGCACATGCGCGGAAATTCGAATAGTCCCATTGGTGTAATTATAGCTGTTTTTTCGATATCTTCTTCCCGAACTGGCAATTGTTGGTAAGCTCTGTTGAGGTCAATCGTTGAGAAAATTGTTTTCCCGGCCAGTTGATATGTGAAGTCTTTGACTCGCGGTATAGGGTAGCGGTCGGGCTTAGTGATATCGTTAAGTCGGCGGTAATCTCCACACACTCGAATGTCACCGTTTTTCTTTGGCACGATGTGAAGAGGGGATGCCCATGGACTTTTGCTAGGTCTGCATAAGCCTTCCTGCATCATGTTCTCGAATTCTTTCTTCACTGCCTGATAACGATGTGGAGGTATTGGACGCGCACGGCAATGAATAGGTGGGCCGGTTGTTTCGATGTAATGGTGCACGTTGACTTTCGGGTTGAGATGCATCGACGTTATCCGCGTTGTGCCGGGAAATTCCGCTAGGATATCGTGGTATGACTGTGATATGTCAATACTACGTATCGTAGGAACATCGATGGTGCATATTGGTGCACTGAGCTTGAAGTTTGTGACGCCATCAATAAGTTTTCTATTTTTGAGGTCGACGATAAGCTGGTGATACTTTAAAAAGTCGGCTCCCAGTATTGGTTGTGATACGTCGGCTACTATAAATTTCCATTTGAATGGACGGCGCAGGCTGAGATCGAGTTCAATCGTTTTTTCGCCGTATGTGGGTATAACAGTGTTATTTGCTGCATACAGTTGAAATGGTAATGGCGTTGTTGGTTGGCCTTTTGTTCGAGGTAGCACCGAAATGTTCGCTCCGGTGTCGACCAGGAAACTTAAATTCGTTTTCTTGTCGGTAACGAATAGGCGGTATGAATGTTCGGGAACGCCGGTTTCCGCCGCTGCCAGCGTTCGTTTTAGTTTTCCGACTTCTTGTAATATGTGCAGGGTGTCGTGCATCGTTTTGCTTGAGATCCGAAGCGCTGGTGGTAAAAGCAAAACGGCGATGGTGATCGGCTGTTTTGTGTCGAACGATGGCGGGAGCGAGATGGGGATCTGTCTCTGAA